CTGGGACTCCCTGAAGCCTGAGAGAACAGGTCAGCCCTGCCCAGAGACAGGGATCTGGCTGAGAGCTCACTTCTGATCCCGTCCTCCTTGTGTCTGCGCAGACAGGAGCAAGCTGGCTTTCCCAAAGAGAACGAATGCCCTGGAACACACTTCAGACAGTTCTGGGAGCGCTCTCATGGCCTCACTGAAGGATGTGAACTTTGTCTTCCTCCCCAGCCTTGGGAAATGTGCCTTCAGCATGCTGGGTCACAGTGGCTGTCTAGATGAGTTTCACATCCTTTCTTCCTACAAACAATGAAATTTTGTCTCATTTTCCCTAAACCAAAAAATATTTGGTAATCTGTTCATTATTGTAGGAGGACCTGGGTGATGGAAATTTTGCCATTTTCCTTAAAATGGTGTCAAGGCTGATGGTCGGGGAAAACCCCAATGGCTGGGGATGGGCAACTCTGTTCAATGGGATCGTCTGGGTTGCTGTTCCCGTTGTTTTCTCGATTCTGGGAAGCCTGGTACAGTAGTACTAACGTAATCACTGAAGCCTTTTCTTGAATGAGGAAGGGCCAACCCTGAATTACAGATACAAGTTCTGGGGGTCTGGGGTTTGCTGTAAAACCTTACAGTGGGTTTAGTTCATCGTGCACATGCAGCTTTGATTATCTTAAGGGCTGCCTGGCCTCTCACGCCCCCGTATCCTCATGCTCACCGTCTCAGCAGGCCTGAGAGGCAGCGCCGGCTTGGGTGTTTGTCATGAGGATTTTCTGCTCTGGAGCGGAGCGACGTGGGCACGTTGCTCAGACTGGGGGGACAGTGAGCACTGAAGGGGGTGAGAGCCAGCCCTGCTCTTGTTCCAGGCGGGTGTGGGGGTTATTTTCTCTAGCATGTTCCCTTCGCAAGTCGTGGTGTGCTATTCATCTGGCTGAGAATCCAAGTTCTGTGCCTTAGAGACAGTTTGCACTTTCCTGAATTGTGCCTGGGACAGCCACATGACTTTGCCCACCTAACAACTATGCAAACAGAAACCAGTTCAAAGGTAGCAGCCACACGCGTCATGGAGGGAAGGCGAGGCAGCGGAAGTGCCTTGGAATGGTTTTCTGTGGCTAATTCTCCTCGAACTGTGTCTTGCTTTTCCGTACGCAGCACTAGGTGTTTGAAGTTTTCTAGTAGTGTTGCTTCTGAGTTCTCGTATAACCTGAGACTCCTCGGCTCTGACGCTTGTCGAAGACCTAGCTTACCTAGCCAGATGCTTGAAAGGTTGAGGTGCAGTGGTTTGGCATTTCTGTGTTAAATAAACATTTAAACTCTTCAGTCAGTGCTGTGCCTCAGTAAGCCTGCCCTGGGCCTAGGTCCTCGGAGATAAAATTCCCGACCTCTCGGCCTGCGTGAATCTTGATTTAGCAAATCTTTGTATAAATAAATAAATGTTCTTGTAACACAAACACCACGAGGGTCAAGTGCACAGAACTCATCGTTGTTTCTCCAGTTTCCTATTCTTGCCAGCAGAATCATTACTGCTGCTACAAGTTTACAGAAGACAGTGTCAGTGTCAGGGAGGAGAAGGTGCACCATTACCAGGAGGGTCGCCCCCACACCGCCCTCCCCAGACTCAGTTTATGTCTCTGAAGCATTCCCCTCAAAGGTTCAACTGTATGTGGTCTCCTTGGCGTGGCACAGAGAGGCTGAGCATGTCACTAAAATTTACAGAAAAAGCAGCCTAAAACAGAAGTTTTTCCAAATGAGATCCCTGGGCCTCCAAAGAAGTGTTCATCACAGTACAGGGCAGGCTGGAGAGAGCGCAGTCAGGACTATACAACCTGTTCCTTCCTGCTGCAAAGCCAGACACCAGTTACTGTTTCAGTGCTTAACTGGAAATAAACATGCCGATCACTAAACCTCCAGAATCACAGACATTAGGAAGAAACGTCTCCATGCCACATCTCCGCTGCCTCCTGTGTGGTTATGGAGCGTGCCAACTTGATGACTGAAGGCACACGCTGGCCAGAAGGTGCTGTGCTGGCTACACTGCCCTTAAGTAACAGGATCTCAACAAGGCTGCAGACACTTCGAAGTGAAATGAGTTTCCATGTGAGTTTCGCCATAAGACTTTTCCCATGGCTTAACCTTTTGAACTTTAAAATTTATAATGTTTACTTGCACTAAAGTTTCTTGGATAAAGAAATATAAAATATGCATGTTAATAAGCAGTATTATTTGTCCACTGTCATCCTCTGAGCTTTCCAGGAAGAGACTTAGATAGGATAAGGTTCTTCTCTCTTCCCAAGTATCAGATCAAGCTCCATTGTAAAAACTAACAGATCCTCCTAATATAATCATGGCCCAAACAGAGAGAGATCAAAGCAAACACTAAGATACCGACTATTGTTTTATTTCCTTAGCGAGATAAGGATAGACCACTGCTTCCAAAAAAAGCACTCCCCCCAGCACATACAGACCTGCTCTCTAGGGGCCGAGGTCTATGAGGCCTATGAGGCCTGCGACCCTCTGGCATCATCTAGGGTCCCAAGTAGATGAGGGACGTGAAGCAGGCAGGTGGGGCTGCGGTGCTGCTGCGCTGCCCTCCTCTGAGGGAGCAACTAATTCTGACCCCACCCAATGTGTCCTATGCAGGTCCCTGACCCAGTGTTTCCAGAACTCCAAGTTTCCCAAGAAATTCTTATCTCAATTTTTCAGATGTCAGATCACAGTCGGAACGCAGTGCTAGCCAAATAAGACACATCTGCGGGGCCGAGCAGTCCCCTGGCTGCCTCTGTGCGACCTTGGCCACTGCTGCTTCTCTTCCGCAGGTTTTAACCAGAGTGACGCTCGAGGGTACCTCACCAGACTGACTGAGCACGTGCACGGTGGGTTACACACCCAGGGTTTGACGCTTTTCCCGAGAGGAGGAAGCACAAAGCACTCAATGCACGCTCTTGAGCCTGGTGTCCTGCGGCTTTGCTGCTAGAGCCATGCATTCGCGCTTCCAGTTCAGTGGAAGCCCAGCCCTCGGCACAAGCTAGAGGGGGATGGGACAAGCGTGAGTGCCCTTTTGCTACGTGCTCAGTTCAAACTGGGCAGCTTTTCTCCAGTATTTAACGATTTTGGTGATGCCCCTGGCACAGTAATCCCACTAGTACCTCAGATCTGCAGTGCCAGCTTCTCTCCTCTCTGAACTGGTAATCCCACCTCACATTAACTTGCCAGTTCTCCCACTGCATAAACCTAGGACTGAGTATTTATGGTTTTTTAAGATTTATGTATTGGGGCCAGCACTGTGGCTTAATCGGTAAAGCCGCCGGCATCCCATATGGGCACCGGTTCGTGTCCCAGCTACTCCACTTCTGATCCAGCTCTCTGCTATGATCTGAGAAAGCAGTAGAAGATGGCCCAAGTGCTGGGGCCCCTGCATCTGCGTGAGAGACATGGAAGAAGCTCCTGGCTCCTACCTTCATATCGGACCAGCTAGCCGTTGTGGCCATTTGGGGAGTGAACCAGCGGATGGAAGAACTCCTTCTGCTTCTGCGTCTCTGTAACTGCCTTTCAAATGAATAAATCTTTTTTAAAAATTATGTATTTATTTATTTGGAAGGCAGAATTACAGTGAGAGAGGGACAGACAGATCTTCCATCCACTGATTCATTCCCTAAATGGCTGCAACAGACAGGGCCAGGCCAGGCCAAAGCCCAGAGCCAAGAATTCCGTCCCAGTTTCCCATGTGGGTGGCAGGAGCCAAAGCACTTGGGCCATCTTCCGCTCCTTTCCCAGGTGGCATTAGCAGGGAGCTGGATCAGAAGTGGAACAGCTGGGACAGGAACCAGCACCCATGTGAGATGCTGGCGTTGCTGGCAGTGGCTTAACGTACCATGCTACAACACTGGCCCCCTCACTTGTGGTTTTGTTTTTATGTTTTTTGTTTTTTAAGATTTATTTATTTTACTTGAAAGAATTACAGAAAGAGAGGTCTTCCATTCGTGGTTCACTCCCCAATTGGCGCAACAGCCAGAGCTGCACCAATCCGAAGCCAAGAGCCAGGAATTTCTTCCAGGGTCTCCCATGCGGGTGCAGGGGCCCAAGGACTTGGGCCGTCCTCCACTGCTGTCCCAGGCCACAGCAGAGAGCTCACGTTCCAGCGCTGGTACAGAGGCTCTCGGCAGCTGGAGTCCCGAGCCGTAGGCGCCCATGCCCTCCACGTAGGTCCACCATGTCCCTCTAATTAAGAAGAGTTTCCTCTGCCATTTTTTCCCTAACTCTTCCCTGAGACTACACTACCTCCACTTTTATTAAACTATCTTCTCCTGGACTATCAGTAAGCGCCCCCCCTATTCTGCCATCTTGGAACCTCCCCTCCCCCTCCCCTTTTCATTTACTCAGAACCCATGAATGGAAGGCCTAACGCACAGGCACTCTTCTGTGTAGAAGGATCTGGCCCTTTCTCCTTCCGAGTTTACTCTCCAACATAGAAGCTGAGCGATCAGCAGGGACGTGTAACACTATGCAGTGTCCAGCTTGCTTTCATGGAAGGTTTTGCCTCATTTAAGAAGTCGTTCAGCCAACTTGATTTGAAGCAGACTGCCTGTAATGGCTGAAAACAGGTCTCCCTCCCGTTCTTTCCTCCGACACGAAACCCATTAGAAAGAACAGGTAGAGAAAAGTTTAACGTGTTTCCCCCGATGCCTACCTTCTAAGTTACATGAGTGTGCTTCCTTTATTATACGAGACGCCAAGGGGAAGGCTGAGGATGTGCGAGTGCCCTAGCCTTACAGACTTTCATTGGCTTTTGGCCAGGACCACACACCAGGGAGGCCAGAGACAGACTTAATGCCTTACGGCAAAATCTTACTGTCTTGTAAGAGGTACCATCTGGGGGACCGTGATCCTCTAACACCAACTCAGCCTAGCACTCCAACTTGTAAGAGTAAGAAGAGTTAACAGGAGCCACACACACGCAGTGGCCACAAGGCACCACCAGATGCAGGCACTTCGCTGGCACAAACCACAAGTCAGCCTTGCAGGAAGACAGCTTTACTATACCCTGCTCCCCCGTCTTCTGTCTTCAGCCCGCCGTTCTCAGGGCGACGCCAGAAGGCACAGCAGTCCACGGCGGTGATTCAGTGGGAAGCTAGCGCGTCCCCTGCTGCCCCTGCTCCACAGTGGATCTCTCCTCACCGACTTTCTCTCTGCAGGCAGATCTGGGAGATGCAAAGGTTTTGTTTCTTTTTGCTTCGCATCAGATTAGTCCACTCCCGTTCACAGCAGAGCCTCCTGCACCACCAGGGAGGCGGCACCGGTGCTGGCTGCTCACCCGTAATGCTTCCTTGGCGGCGGGGGGCGGTTCTTGATGGTCTTACACTTGGGAACGTGTCGCTCAGCCACCTTGGGAGCAAAGTGGCGGCTACAGTGAGGACACTGAATGTAGTCCGGGTTTTCGGCAGGCAGGATGGGAGGCAAGTCGGAGGGGTTTCCGCCTTTGGCAATGGCCTGCTGGACCTCCCGAGCCTGGCGGAGGGTACGGATGAAAGACTCGTGCTTCTGTCTCCAGTTGCTCTTCCGCGGAGGCTCAGGCTGCAAGGGAAAGGGGAGACGCATCACTCGACCGGCCGTGTCTCCCCGAGTCTCCCTCAGAGTGGAAGGAAGGGAGGAAGGAAGGGTGCTGCTCCCAAGGCCCCAACAAGAAAGCAGCAGTGGTGACACCTGCCTGCCAGCGAGGTAGTGAGAGGCCCGCAGAGCTGCTGGGAGAGTCGGTGCTGGGGAGTACCAGCTCGTGGGAAGGGGGGAGGGGCAGGGCTGCAAAGTAGCCTCCCTGTCGTGTCCAGGTGTCCTACAGCCGCACGCACACAGGAGAACCGGGGCTTATCCTCTGGAGAGACAACTGCACGGCTTGCAGACTCAGGAAATCCTAAGTGGACAGGGCTCATCTTGGGCTGAAAGTGGGGATTAAATACAAGTGCACATCCCAGATTGCTGGACTCCTTCCCCCACTCAGCCCCAAGTACACAGGAAGCCTCTTAGGAAAGGGAAGGGGGCAACCATCCCAGACATCAGCCTTCAGACACCAAGGTGGAGAAGGCTCTGAGTCAGCAAGCCCCATTTAAGCTTAAATGTCAGTGGACAGCCAAGGACTAGCAGCTATTTGACAAAAGCTCTCAAAAGAAAAGAGCCACAAATAACAACTCAGAATGCAATAGGCAAGTAACACAGAAAAGACCAGCATATCAACAAAATAACTATTAGATTTTCCTTGGGGCCGGTGCTGTGGTGTAGCAGGTAAAGCTGCCACCTGCAGTGCAGGCATCCCATATAGGTGCTGGTTTGAGTCCCAGCTGCTCCAATTCCAATCCAGCTCTCTGCTATGGCCTGGGAAAGCAGTGGAGAATGGCCCAAGTGCTTGGGCCCCTGCACCCACGTGGGAGACCTGGAGGAAGCTCCAGGCTCCTGGTTTCAGATCAGCCCAGCTTCGGGTGTTGTGGCCATTTAGGGAGTGAACAACGGATGGAAGACCACTCTCTCTCTCTGCCTCTCTGTAACTCTGCCTTTCAAATAAATAAATAAATCTTAAAAAAAAAAATCGAAAAGAACATACTATATTTTAAAAAACATTTTCCATGAAATGAGTTTCTGTGAAAAAAGACCAGAGAACCAGAAAGACTTATTATAAATTAAAACTTTGATAGATAAAAAGAAAAATAGAAATGCTATAAAATGAAGTAAATTTCTGGCCGACACCACTGCTCAACAGGCTAATCCTCCGCCTGCAGCGCCAGCACCCTGGGTTCTAGTCCCGGTTGGGGCGCTGGATTCTGTCCCGGTTGCTCCTCTTCCAGGCCAGCTGTGGCCTGGGAAGGCAGTGGAGGATGGCCCAAGTGCTTGGGCCCTGCACCCCATGGGAGACCAGGAGGAAGCACCTGGCTCCTGGTTCGGATCAGCGCAGAGTGCCGGCTAGCGGCCATTAAGGGGGTGAACCAACAGAAGGAAGACCTTTCTCTCTGTCTCTCTCTCACTGTCTAACTCTGCCTGTCAAAAAAAAAAAAAAATGAAGTAAATTTCTTAGAATGGGGGAAAATAATGGAATAAAAAAAATGGAAACTTAAGAAGTCCAACAAGTGACTAGCAGGAGTTCCAGGAGAATGGAGAAAAATGAGGAGGAAATCGCTGAAGGAACAGGGCAGGCATCTGCCTTAGCAGTGAGGATGCTGCCTGGAACACCTGCATCCGGAACGAAGGGCCGAGGGCACGGCCCAGCTCTGCCCCAGATTCCGGCGTCCTGCCAGCGTGCGCTCTGGAAGGCAGCAGGGGCGGCCCAAGTCGTTGGGCCCTGTCGGCCCCGGAGCAGCCACGGGTTGAGTTCCCAGTCCTGGCTTCAACCTGGCCCAGCCCCAACCATTGCAGGCATTTTTAGGTTGTGAGCCAGCAGGTGCAGATGGGAAAGCCGGCATGCTCGCTCGCTCGCTTCCTCTCAAATAAATAAAATTTTACTTTCCTATTCATCTTCTAAAGTGTTATTTATTTGAATAGGCAGAGAGAGAGGGGCGGGGGGAGAGACACAGAGAGGTCTTCCATCTACTGGTTTACTCCCCAGATGCCTGCAACAGCCAGAGCTGGGCCAGGAGCCAGGAACTCCATCCTGGTCTCCCATGGGGGTGGCAGGGACCCATCAGCTGTTTTCCCAGGCACACTAGCTGGAAGCTGGATTGGAAGCAGAGCAGCTGGGACTGAAACCAGTGCTCCTATATGGGATGCAGATATCACAAACAGAGACTAAACCTGTGCCACATGCTCGCCCCTAATTTTTTTCTTTAAAGATTTATTTATTTACTTGAAAGGCAGAGTTACAGAAGCAGAAGCAGGGACAGAGAGAGTGAGAGAGAGAGAGGTCTTCCATCCTCTGATTCACTCCCCAAATGGCTGCACACTGGAGCTGGGCTGATCCAAAGCCAAGAGCCTGGAGCTTTTTACAGGTCTCCCACCAGGGTGCAAGGGCCCAAGCCCTTGGGCCATCTTCTGCTGCTTTCCCAGGCCATTAGCAGGAAGCTGGATTGGAAGTGGAGCAGCCAGGACTCGAACCAGCGCTCATATGGGATGCTGGCACTGCAGGCAGCAGCATTACCCACTACGCCACAGCGCCAATCCTGCCCCTAGATATGTTTAAAAATATATATATATATATATATATAATTGACATTCCTAGAACCAAAGGTCGCAAGTCTTGAGTCTGAAATGACATACCAGGTGTCCAGCCAGCACAGTCACTGTGACGTTTCAGAATTCAGAATAAAGAGCATGCTGCACTTTTCAGAAAAAGCAGCAAAATAGGTCTCATGTAACGGAAGGAATCAAAATGGCATCAGATTTCTTAACAGGAACACTAGGAGCTAGAAGCCAGCAGGAAATGCCTTAAAAGTTCTTAAAAATAATTTCCCACCTAGAATTCTACACTCATACAGTCGTCCAGTAAGAGGCTATTATACAGATATTTCCATTCACTCCAAAACCAAAAATATGCCTCCTGTGCACCTTAGTAAACTTCAGCAAAGCAAGAAGTAAAACAAGAAAAAGGAAGAAACAGGATGCTGGAAACGGAACCCGACACAGAAGCAAGAAGTCCCCAGACAACAGGTCTGCACCAGATCAAAAGAATAAAAACCCAGACCCCAATCTGGAGGAAAAAGAGGGGTGCAAGTAAATTTTCCAGAATTAAAAAAAAAAAAAACCCAACTGATACAACGTAAGAGTTGTTTGAGCATTCACAAAAACATGGGCGGGGTCAGCATTGTGGCGCAGCGGGTCAGCCACAACTTGGGATTCCTGCATCCCACATCAGACTACTGGTTGGAGTCCCAGGAAGGCAGCAGAAGACAGTTCAAGTGCTCGGGTCCCTGTCTCCCGTGTGGGAGACCAGGATGGAATTCCTGGCTCTTGACCTCAGCCTGGCCTACCCTAGCTGTTGCAGTCATTTGGGGAGACATGAGGTCCAAGACTGCTGGGAGTCACAGAAGATTAAAGGACACCTGGAAGGTCAGCTGTGTTCTCGCTGACTACACTGGAGGAACGACGGGGAGACAGCACCACTCCGCTTCCAGAGCTCAGATCTCTGCAATAAAGCGTGGGACGGTCCGGGGCGGGAGTGTCTGCGCCGCAGTCACGCCCCTCCCGCACCTCTGTGCAGCACCGTCCCCCTCACTCGTTCCACAGAGCGTCTGAGCCCAGACACTCAACTGGTTTTTCTTCTCCACTGCTTCTTTTAGATTCTGGCCAAATATAAATCACTGTGGTGGGACAGAGGGAATCCCCAATGGATTACTGGGTTGACCAGAAAGAAAACAGGAAAGAACAGTAACTGCCCACCGTATCATTATCTGTAAGAGCAAAATGTTGACTTCTCGTTGGAAACTAGATTCCAGGGAGATCACCCATGAGCACAGAAGGGACTTTCTTGTGATCTCCCAAACTGTACCCAAAGAAAGAACTCTAATTACAAATCACTCATCCTAAAATCACATAAATGGGAGTTTTAAAAGACCTCAGCAAATACATAAACTGTCAAGTCCCAATGGACAAGAGGCGCTGGTATAGCAGAGAGAGGATAAGGAAGAAATGCAAGAAGAGCATCGCTCTCATTTTTCTAGAATAACAGAGCTAGATTGAGCCTTTGACATCACACAGCCTAGGCTTTCCCCAGCTTTGGTCATTTGCATACTTCGTTTACTTTATTCTCCTTACTGTTAATTACTTCATTATTTTCCTTTAAATTCATGATCCTGGAAATCAAGAGCTTAATAAGTTGTTATATTTTTAAAATATGCATTAAAACTACTAAAATGAAGAAAAGTATTTGTCAGTGTGCCACACTTTGAGAAACACTCACTTTACAAACTAAGTAGCATGGCCTTGACGGGCAGGTTATTTAGGATACCATCTCTAGATCTGTCTAAACAGATGGCCTATGACGTTTTCCTAAACTTACCATGTCAATGTCCTTAAGGGCTTACTTTTATTTCTTTTTTATTTATTTATTTTCAATTTTATTTGAAAGACAGTTACAGAGAGAGGTAGAGAGAGAGAGAGGTCTTCCATCCTCTGGTTCACTCAGCCAGAGCTGAGCCGATCCGAAGCCAGGAGCCAGGAGCTTCTTCCGGTCTCCCACGTGGGTGCAGGGTCCCAAGCACTTGGGCCATCTTCTACTGCTTTCCCAGGCCATAGCAGAGAGCTGGGCCAGGAGTGGAGCAGCCGGGACTAGAACTGGCACCCATGTGGGATGCCGGCACTGCAGGCCAGGGCTTTAACCCCTGTGCCACAGCACCAGCCCCAGGGCTTCCTTTTTACCACTTGGTTTTTCTAAACTGAGAAAATTATTGAAAGATAACCCAAAAATCCCTTACCTTCAAGGTGTTTACACTCTAAATGAGAAGAATAATTCCAAATGTACTGTGTTTCAAGCATTTACCAAGAAATTATATCAAAACTGAGCTCCTCTTAAGAAAACAGGAATGGTTACAGGATGGTAACGGATCCCTGACACGAGGGAACAGGGTCTTTTTTTTTTTTTTTTTTTACAGGCAGAGTTAGACAGTGAGAGAGACAGACAGAGAGAAAAGTCTTCCTTTGCCGTTAGTTCAGCCCCAAAATGGCAAATGGCCGCTGGGGCCAGCACCGCGCTGATCCGAAGCCAGGAGCCAGGTGCTTCCTCCTGGTCTCCCATGCGGGTGCAGGGCCCAAGCACTTGGGCCATTCTCCACTGCACTCCCTGGCCACAGCAGAGAGCTGGCCTGGAAGAGGGGCAACCGGGACAGAATCCGGCGCCCCAACCAGGACTAGAACCTGGTGTGCCGGTGCCGCAGGCAGAGGATTAACCAAGTGAGCCGCTGAGCCGCGGCACCAGCCCAGAGCAGGGTCTACTGCAAAGAGCAAGGAGTCCTCTCTGGGTGATAAATTCAGCATAGTTTGTCTAGGTTTTTCTTATCTTCCATTTTTTACAGTAAACATTTATTATTTCTATAATTGGGAAAAAAAGTGTTTTTCAAGTCTAGATTTTGGAATCATTCCAACCAAGATTTATTGGCTGGCCCTGCTACTGAAGACTGACTTCAAGAAAGTTACTTAACCTGTCCAAGCCTTCATTTTTGGATGGAAAAAATGGGAGAGAATGAAATTCTCATGGAATTCTGAGGGTCACCTAAGCAGCTCTGGTCATAGTGACTGGCGCACAGCTGGAGTCAAGAAATGCTCATTCTTGGGGCTGGTGTTGCGGCACAGTGGGTGAAGCTGCCACCTATAACACCACAATTCCATGTAGGCACTGGTTCGTGTCCCGGCTGCTCTACTTCTGATCCAGCTCCCTGCTATTATGCCTAGGAAAGCAGAAGACGGCACAAGTGCTTGGGCCCCTGCAACCATGTGGCAGACCTGGAAGAAGCTCCTGGCTCCTGGCTTTGGATCAGCACAGCTCCGGCCGTTGGGGCCAATTGGGGAGTGAACCATCAGATGGAAGACCTCTCTCTGTGTAACTCTTTTGAATAAATAAATAAATCTTTTAAAAAAAATGTTCATGGGCCTGGCACCGTGGTGTAGCAGGTAAAGCCACCACCTGCAGTGCTGGCATCCTATATGGGCGCTGGTTCAAGTCCCGGCTGCTCCACTTCCGATCCAACTCTCTGCTATGGCCTGGGAAAGCAGTAGAAGATGGCCCAAGTCCTTGGGCACCTGCACCCACATGGGAGACCTGGAAGAAGCTCCTGGCTCCGAGCTTCGGATTGCCACAGCTCCAGCCGTTGCAGCCAACTGGGGAGTGAACCAGCGGATGGAAGACCTCTCTCTCTCTCTCTCTCTCTCTCTGTCTCTCTGCCTCTCTGCCTCTCCTCCTCTGTGTAACTCTGACCTTCAAGTAAATAAGAAATCAAATCTTTATAAAAACCAATGTTCTTTTTCATCTTTTTTTTTTACATAACCCATGTTCCCTAAAGAAAGCTGGTGAGGACACCAGAGGCCCTTACAACATTCCCCACACAAAGTCAAATCCACACGGCCCTTGTTACCTTGACCGAGGCTGGCCCCTTCCAGTTCAAGTACTGCTCCAGTTCTGTGCCCTTGGCCCGGGCCCTGGAGGAGTCAAACACCTTCCTCCTGGAGCCCTGCACCCTGCTGCAGACGTTGGAGTGTCGCTCCAGCCTCAGCAGGAGAAACGTGCGTCCACAGTGGCTGCACTGGCCCAGTTCCGGCTCTTCAGAACAGCTGGAACCCGAAGAGCCCGGTGCCCTGCACAGGCCGGAATCCGTACCGAGCCCCTGGAAAGCACCGTCCGGCGCTTCCGAAGACTGAGAGACCTTCTCCGTGGATGGCCCCGAGACCCCATCTTTGATTTTGTTACTGTTTGCCGCCAGCCTCTCCCTTTCCAGCTCCTGGACTCCATGATCAGAGAACTGGCATAGACCAGCATTTTCTCGAGACCGTCTCCAAGTTCCATCCTCTCTTCTGTCACTCCTGGACGCCTCCTCGGGCCTAAATCCCGGGGGGAAGACGGGCTTGCACGCGGGGTGGCTGGCACCACCGCCCGCTCTCCCCCGGGAGAGAGCCATTCTCCGGAGCGCTCTGTGTGCGTTCCCCTCGGCCTCCTCCTTGCCCCTCTGGATCCTCCTGAGCTCCTCCTCCGTCCTCTTCAGCTTGTTCCGCAGGACGATCTCCTTTCTCCGGATTTCCTCCTCTAAGCTCTCCCCCAGGGCTTCCAGTCTCTGGATCTGCACCCACTCAGGCCTGGTGAGGTTTGCCACGGCCCTCTCGCCCTGCATGGCGGCAAGGACGGCACCAACCACAGAGGGGTTCACCGTGCTCCTTGGCGTGAAGTTGCTGTGTGGAAGCTCTCTCGGCTCAGAGGCGCTCATGTAGGCACTCTGGTTCCCAGCGGGGCCAGCCTCCCCCGTACTGCGAGACTTCCGGTGGACCATGGGTTTCAGCGGGTACGCCCGATCCACCCCAACTCCCTTCTTTGAGAAGGGACCTAAGTATGGGTTATTTGCTTTGGGATGCCAGGACGGAGGGCCCGATGCAGCGAACCAACCTTGTCCTTGGCCCTGGGGCCCCCTGCCTGACTCAGCATCAGCACAGCTAGGGGAGCTGCCCCCGGCTTTGGAGCGCGTGTTCTGGTTGGGCGGGGTGTAGACGTTCTCCCGCGTCAGCTCTCTGCTGCTCAAAAGCCTCTCCCGGACATTGTTCCTCCGATGCCCCACAGAGGACGGCTGCGCGGTGTCACCTTGTTCATAAGGGTCTCGCCGGGCGGAGTGGAGCCCCGCAGCCTCTGTTTTATTATGTGGGAACATAACGCCCACAGGCAGATATGGAGCCAACTGGAGGTCAGCCATTCAGGGCCTGGATGGAAGCCTACGGGGAGAGTCAAACCAGATCCATGTGCTGAGTTTGTCTGAGGCTCACCCCCGGCTGCTAAAGTAAACTGTTGCTACATCTGCCCTACTCACATTTCCCTCCAGCTTCGCTAGGGACATGGCGCTGGGTGTGCCAGAGCTCTCCAATGCGCATTCGCAGTGAGTGGTGACCACCCGCTCTGTTAGGTCCCGAGGGTGGAAAGACACAGTGACCCGGTACCAGCCCCCGCCATCTGCACTCTACTCGCCCGCCAGCAGGCGAAGCCAGCGCTGGATGGAGGGAGAGGTGTTAGGCTTGGGGAACACAGTCTCTCCACCTGTGAACTGAAGGGTTCACTCCAGGCCCACCATCTTACAGGTGACAAAACCAAGCCAACCCCGTTCAAAGAGTCACCGTGGCGCAGACGCCGGAGGCCGCTAACCTGCGAAGAAAGGGGCTACCTGAGCCCCTTTCAGATCTGGAACCCGGAAGTTCCGTCCGGTGCCAGTCAACCCGGGCGCCCCCACTAAGGCGGGGGTTTCTGGGGACAAGCCCTCGCTCTCCTGCTCCTCGGGCCCTCGGGAGGTCGAGGTGTTCACCCCACGTCTCCCCGCCCTTCTGCGTACCTCCGGCTCTGGGGGCACCGCGGCGGCTCAGGGGAAACCCCAGGACCTGGCTTTCCAGACCCGGCCGCCCCCAACCGACGTCAGCGCAGGCGCTCTCCGCGGGCCTCGGCGATTCCCGTTGCCTGGAGACGAAAGCGCCTCGCGCGCCGAGCCCCGCCTCTCGCAGATCGCCGCCGCAGAGGCACGCGCAGGCGCAGTCCGCGCGTCTTCCTGGGCGGGCGGATGGCGGGGGGAGGGTGTTGAGAGTGGGAGGCGGGGTGCGGTCAGCCCGAGTTGTTGTCACTTGACCCAGTGTCCAGCCAACTCTGCAGCTCAGTTCAGCCCTGCCCTTGGGGAACGGGGGAGGAGGTGGGAGAGGCTTTTCTGGGGCGCCATCAAAGGAGAACTTGTATTTTTCTGAGAAGCATGCTCCCAGGCCCCGGGGTGTGCCCGTCCCTGGCAAAGGGTGGAGCCCCGCCATGTGCCCCGGAGTCATCCCACCGCAAGATCCCGGCGTCCGCCCGGTTAGCGGGAGTGGGCCTGCTGATAGCCCTTGTTAGCACGCTCGGCAGCTCTGTACGGGCCCCAGGTATGGCTGCTATCTTTCCGTGCTTTGCCTTGCCAAACTTTGGAGCTTGCCCCTTTTTTTTTTTTTTTTTTTTTGCTACGCAGTATCTTTCCGGGGTAGATTTCGTGGCCAACCTAATTATTTTGATATTGTGATGTTTTGCTGTCACGTGGTGACCCGGACCATCTCTGCTTAGGACCTGGGAATGACTCAGCCAAATGTGATGATAATAAAGTTAGCATAACAGATTGAAAATAATCAGTATAACCTAGTTTCAACACTGAATGATGGTCTGTGACTTGTTGACATCAGAAGACAGTTTATTTGTCTTCTTCGTGCTTCAGTTCATTTGTGTAAGCTGTTTGGAACAGGCAGCTCGTTTTTTTTCCTGTAACTACTCAAAGGATTCATCACATGGAAAATAATGTAGACAGCAGTAGTCAGCGTTAACGCTTCCACAGATCCTATTACAGCTTGTACACGGCACAAAGAAACTCTTTGGTGGGCCCCTCCAGGGCAGTCTTTTATTCCTTGTTTTCATTCCTAGTAGACTAGACTGCCTTAGTATACAAGGCGACTTCCAAAAGTTTATGGGAAATAGATTTAAAAGAGAAGTTTATTCCACTGCAAAAAATAATTGAGATCTGTGCATACCAGAGGCCTTCAAAAAGTTCTAGGAAAGGTGTATTATGAAAAAACTATGCATGTATATTTTGGACCAAAACAATCTTTTTTAATTCCGTTTTTCCACAAACTTGTTAAAGTTCCACAGCTCCAGACATTTCGCAGTTAGGTCAGCCTCTGACCTCGCCTTAATCAACTCCCACAGTTTCTCTCCAGCCTGGCTGACTTTCCCAGGGCGCCTCCCTCTCTCCTGACTTCCTTCCTTTTGTTCCGCAGGAAGAAGGGTCTCTCTCTTTCTTGAATTGGTGCCTTTCAGTACCCTCCAGGAGCTGACTCGGTCATTGTTCCCACTTCTGTCTTCATAACTTCAACTTGTGCATCTCCCCACTCTGAAAAACGCCTGACCTTCCCCTGCAAAACAAACCTCATTTCTCCTGATCTGCTGCCTCTGGTATCCGCCCCTCATTCATTTCTCTTCTTTTCTCCAAGACTAAAAAAAAAAAAAAAAAAACTCTACATTTGCTGCTCATTTGCTCATCTCCCTGTCTGTGTCTAATCCATCGTGGTATGGCTTTGACCACCTACACTTTAACTGCAAAGCTAGCAGTGACCCTCTAGTGACCAAAGGCAAAAGCTATCAGGGCCGCTCTGTGGCGTGGTAGGCTGCAGCACCAGCATCTCATACAGGCACCCATTTGAGAACTGGCTGCCCGTCTCCCGACCCAGCTCCTGACTGATGGCCCGGGAGGGCAGTGGAAGATGACCCAAGTGCTTGGGCCCCTGCACCGGCACGGAGGCCCAGAAGGGGCTCCTGGCTTCAGATTGGCCCAGTTCTGGCCGTTGCAGCCATTTGGGGAGTGAACCAGCAGATGAAGATCTTTCTCTGTCTCTCCCTCTCTCTCTCTGTAACTCTGCCTCTCAAATAAATTATTAAAATCCTTTTTTTTTTTTTTAAAGCTATCTCTTCAGGCTACTTGTTTGACAGTACTGATTAGTCACCCTTTAAGGACTTTCTTTTTATTTTCTCCTGCCCCCTCTTGGTTTCTTCTTCCACGTCCTTGCTCTGTCTTCTTCTTGATCTTTGGCACTTACATCTCCCCAACTGCTCCTTGCATTTATGTGTTCTCCTACCCCCTCTTATTTGTCATATATATGCACTTCCAGATATTCTCATCTTTAAACGATCTCAACCAAATTCTGAAATTGCAGATTTCACCTGTTTAGATGATACCCAGCTCAGCATAGACGCTCCCCTTAGTTACAGACTTAAATCTCTTACCTCCCCTGGTGGTGTTGTGATGGGTTAAGCAGCTGCCTGTGAAGTCAGCACCGCACATGGGCACAGGTTTGAGACCCAGCTGCTTCACTTCTGAGCCTTCGAATGCTCTTGGGAAAGCAGTGGAAAATGGCCCAAATGCTTGAGTCCTTGCCACCCACATGGGAGACCTAGGTGGAGTTCCAGGCTCCTGGTCTTGGCTGTGGTGGCCATTTGGGGAGTGAACCAATAGATGGAACATCTTTCTCCCTCTCTCTCTATTTCTTTGCCTTTCAAATAAATAATTACTAAAAACAGAAAGGTATAACTGATAAATAAAAATGGTATAAATACAGTGTACAAAGTGATGTTTTGGTTTGTGTATACAGTATGAAATGGTTGGAATCAAAGCGATTAGTAAACACATCTGATCTTACTATTTTCTTCCCCAGTACCTTCTTTCCTACAGAGTAAAGTCGCAATGCACCACTTATCATGGGATTTCAACCTCCTAGATTAGATCCAGCCTACCATTCCACCTGCCTTCACTTCAGCCCCAGAGGCTGGCTATGCATTAAGGCTATCTGGAAAGCAGCATCTGGATGTGGCCTGGGCATCAATATTTTTAACGCTTCTCCGAGGGTACAGCCAGAGTTGAGAACTCCTGGTCTGGCCACAACTGACTATTCATTCCTTTCTCACCTCCATGATACCATCTTACCCCCGGCTCCCTGTATTGGGAGGTGGTGGAAAATGACATTTATAGGCGTGGATTCTTGACTGACTGCTTGGAACTAAATCCCGACTCCCTGGCTTACTGACTATGGTTTGTAACTTTGGATAAAACACTGTTTCCTCCAAGAGCCCTTTCCCAACCTTCTCAGCCAGGATTAATCTCTGCTCTGTATCCTTTTCTGTCCTTGTGAAAACACAGGGCTGTTTCCTGATGAACTCTCCATGGATATTCATGGAACTGAATTACCATATTGTAATTGTATTGTCAGTATTTGCATTCACATGTCTCATAGTAAATTATTCATGCAAAGTTATTCATCGTTGTAATGCCTACAGTGTGCAAAGATTATTACTCATCGTTTTAATGCCTACATACTATCTAATGGTATCAATAGGTTTTGGATTCTATAAAGAAGCCTTTTTAAAATGAATTGTATAGAGACTAGCATTGTGGCACGGTGGGTTAAACCACAGCCTGCAGTGCTGGATTCCCATATCGAGTTGTTCACATCCCAGCTGCTCCACTTTCCATCCAGCTCCCTGCTAATGTGCCTGGAAAGGCAGCGGAAGGTGGCACAAGTACAGATGGAGTTCCTAGCTCCTGACTTCGGCTTGGTCCACCCTGACCATGGCAGCCATCTGGGTTGTGAACCAAGGGATGGAAGACATCTGTCTCTCTCTGTCAGTCTGCCTTTCATATAAATAAATATTTTAAAGAACAAAGTCTATAGAAAGAAATAACATCAGCCAGGCACACTGTTTAGTGTTATTTCTAAATATTGCCAAGAAAAACATTCAATCTATCCCCCTCTACACCCAGCACTAAGGGTTTATTATTCTCTGGGATCTGGATCCTCTCTGTATTGAGGAACTAGGGGAATGATGAGTTTCTATGACTACCATAGCAAACACATCCCACTATGCCAAGTCTGCCAACCTGGAATAGTCACGTATGGAGTCTTAGGTTATGATGGGATATAATGTATACAGACAAACCAAAGAGGAACCTAAATACCACTTTTTTTTTTCACACACAGTCTTTTAAAAAAAAAAAAGATTTATTTATTTGAATGGAAGAGCAACACAGAGGGAAGGAGACACAGAAATTTTCCATCTGCCAGTTCACTCCTCAAATGGCCAAAGCCAGGAGCCAGGATCTCCATCCTAGTCTCCCGCACAAGTAGCAGGGGCCCAAGCACTTGGACTCTCCTCCGCTGTCTTCCCAGGCTCATTAGCAGGGAGCTGGAGCAGAAGCAGAGCACCTGGGACTGGAACCTGCACTCCAATACCAGATGCCTGCACCATAAGCCTGGACTTAACCTGCCTGCCCTGCAGACATTCTCAGTCGTTAGAGGAGTTGGATTCAAATGTTTCCAGGTCAACTCTAATTTTAATCATTCTCGTGCCACAACCCTTCTCCCTTGAGAATTCTCTTCTCCCAAAATTAAATTCATGCAAATTTGGTTATTTGGCTTAGCTTGGCTGATTCTGCTACGACTAAGGATCCATGCCTGCTAGTGCTTTCGCTTTGGTTTAGTTATTCAAGCATTGTCTGGTGTTTTCTTAGTAAGTTAGACTCTGTTGGCAACTTCCAGAAGCCTAGGAGAAATAACTTCCACTAGTAACTCCTGGCTAGAAATTCCAGATTAGGCATGACCCAAAATGTGAGGAGAATTGGAAGAAAAAGGACAGAAAGACTGTGTCCTCATCAATTAATTTTCTGAGTGATATTTAATGTTTGTTGTCTGGCACCTACACAGTTTAAATTCCAGGGCAATAAACTAATGTATACCAACCACCTAGGACAGTGCCGGGCACACAGTAGGCCGTCCGTCTGGACGGACGGATGGATTGATGGAATGCATGTGTCCCATGTACTTCTTCCCATCTGCTTTTCTCCCCAGGAGGAAAAGGGTGCACTTAGCGACAGAGGTGTGATGAGGGCTCGGTGCGCAGGGGCCGAGCCCGGACCCTGGACAGATCCCCAACGCGAGGCTCATTGGGCTGCCGGATAACTGCGTCATGAAGTCCCGCCTTCTGGGCGGGCTCGGGGCCGGATCGCCATTTATGATTGGCCGACTTAGCCTAGGTGATGGGCAAGAGAGACTGCGAAGGCGGAGCCCACCTTTACACTTCCGGGCGCGACAGTTAGCGCTTGCAAGGGGAGCCGTTGGGCGAGGTGGTCGCGCGTGTGGTCGGCGCCCTGAGGGGACGGTCAGGAGGGTGAGCCCAGGAGCGGTTCCCGTCAATTTGATTCGCCCTGAAATGTTCATGGAAGGGGATTCTGGCAGCCACGTGGGGAGGGAGAGGGACCGGCATGGGTGTAAGGAGCTAATTAGGTAAGCAGGAAATTGACCCAAAAGAAGCCTGGGTGGATCGTCCGGACCCGAAGATCCCACACCCAGGTGACTTCCTGTTACTCCACACACTCGGCCGCTCCCTTAACGCTTCCGGGGTCAGAGACCTTGAGGTCGGGGAGAAGTCGCAGTGGTTGTGGATGGAGAAGGGTGACTGTGGCCCTTTCTGCCTTGGGGCTGGGGTGCTGGAATAAATCATGTTTCTGCTTTCCCGATCTCTGACAGGTTTGAGCATGGCGGAAGGGGACACCTTGGTATCGGTGGATTATGAAATTTTTGGGAAGGTGCAAGGGGTGTTTTTCCGCAAGTACACCCAGGTATGTGGTCTTCAGGCTTTGGGGAGATACCTAGGTTATGAGACATGTAGCTGGCAAATGGGAATTGGAAGAAGCTGGAGATCTGGTAACTGCATGGCAGAGGTAGTTTGTAGAGCAACGAGTGTGAAAATGGCTTGCAGTTGGTAAAAAAAAAAAAAAAAGATGTAAACAGAACATTCTGTTAATGAGCTTTTCTAACGGGTACTTGGGCATCGAGACACACGTGTTAATGATCTTTCTTCTTCTAAAGGGAAATAGAGGGCTTCCCCAGGGCTAACTGTCATGACATCAAACCAAGTCACACTTGCAGGAAAGCTAACAGCGATCTGAGATATGACATTGAGATGAAGTGATGGCATCAGTGTAAGTTATATAATGGCTTCCTCTCATAATTGCTTCATTTTCTTCATATCTCATTTCTTTATTTTTTAAAAGGATTTATTTATTTGAAAAACAGAGTTACAAAGAGGCAGAGAGAGCGAAAAGTCTTCCATCCCCTGGTTCCCTCCCCAGTTGGCCTCAACGGCCAGAGCTGGGCCAATTGAAACCAGGAGCCAGGAGCTTCTTCCAGGTCTCCCACATGGGTACAGGGCCCCAAGCACTTGGGCCATCTTCCACTGCTTTCCCAGGACATAAACAGAGAGCTGGATTGGAAGTGGAGCAGCCAGGACTCGAACCAGCGCCCATATGGGATGCCAGCAGTGCAAGCGGTGGCTATACAACAGTGCTGTCTTGAACCCCTAGGCTTGAACCTTCTCTCAACCTCCCACTTAATTCCTTTTTATTATTTTTGGCTTTGAAAGAACATTTCCCTTTTGTAGCTTAAGATTTTCTAGTTAAAAATACTTGATCCTGGGGCCGGTGCTGTGCTGTAGTGGGTAAAGCCGCTGCCTGCAGTGCCAGCATCCCATATGGGCGCTGGTTCGAGACCCAGCTGCTCCTCTTCCAATCCAACTTTCTGCTATGGCCTGGGGAAGCAGTACAAGATGGCCCAAGTCCTTGGGCCCCTGCACCCACGTGGGAGACCCGGAAGAAGCTCCTGTCTCCTGGCTTCGGTTCGGTGCAGCTCCGGCTATTGAGGCCATCTGGGGAGTGAACCATCAAATGGAAGACCTCTCTCTCTCTGCCTCTCCTCCTTTCTCTGTGTAACTCTGACTTTCAAATAAGTAAATAAATCTTTAAAAAAAATACTTGATCCATTCCAGAATAGGTAATGGTGACACTGAGTGTGGAGTTTGGCCTTCCTACTATAGTAATAGGGGGTATTTGAAGGAGTGAATAAACATGGCAGTCTCTGCCTCTGCTCCCAGTGTCCTCACCCATCTTCCCTTACCATGCACACGGCAAATGCACTCTCATTTCCCCTTCTGCCTTCTGGAGGCGTGTGCTTGTACCGTCAGCCTCAGCAGCTTGAGGGAGGACTGTAGGACTTTCCAGGTGTCACATTCCTGGGTCTGTGGTACTTAGATTTCAAACCTGAACCTTTGAAGTATGAATGTGAATTAGTCAACCCCCTTTTTCTCCAATTTACAAATCATTTCTTCCTGCTTCATATACTCACCTGGGAAGCACTTACTGAGAAAAGAATCGTGAAGGTCGTTGCTGGAGGTATGTGCCAGTCAGTTTTGCTGTCAGTTATGCAGGGTAAGTTCCTGTGATTGAGCACTGATGAGAGCTTCAGAGATGAGTCAGAGTTCAGGGACAAGGCCCAGATGGTGGTATAGCCTGTCTTTCTCTACCCACCTGTCCCCCACTCCAGTTTAGAGAGAGAATAAAGGAATGCAAGGGAGAAAACTGATTTTCAAAACCGCAAAGAATATACCATCTGTTTTTTGTTAATCATACTTGTATCCTTTATTATTTGTGATCATTTACATGTATATGTTCATTTTAACAAGTGTTTTGTTTTATTACAATCTGTTTACGTGTCCATATCAAGTAGCCTATTACTTAAATTCTTTCACTCCTAAAGTAGTGAGTGAGAATACGAGAGGACTTTGTGAGTTGGAATAAACCACATTCTATAAAACTCGCCCTTGTAAAGCGTGTAGTCAGTGGTTTTTAGTATACTCATACAGTTGTGCACTCCTTCCAGGACATTTTCATCCCCCAAAAGAAACCTCCTACCTGTTAACATTCAATCCTCATCCCTGCAGCCCCTGGCAACTACTGACCTATTTTCTGTCTGTGATTTTTCCACTTCTAGTCATTTAATATAAATGGAATCATACAAATGTGACCTTTTGTGACTGACTCCTTTCAGAAAATGTTTTCAAGGTTAATCAGGATTGTGGCACATATCAGCACTTTATTCCTTTTTATGGCTGAATAAAATTCCATTGTATGGATATAGTGTGTTTTATTTATCCATTCATCCAATTGATGGACTTTTGGGTTGTTTCCAACTTTTGACTTTTATGAATAATGATGCTGTGATCATTCATGTACACTTTTTTAAAGATTTATTTATTTGAAAGGCGGAGTTACAGAGGGAGAGACAGAGAGAAGTCTTCCATCCTGTGGTTCACTCTCCAAATGGCTGCAACAGCCAGGGCTGGGCCAGGCTGAAGCTAGGAGCCAGCCAGGAGCTTCTTCTGGGTCTCCCACATAGGTGCAGGGGCCCCAGGAGTTGGGCCATCACCATCCTTTACTGCTTTCTCAGGCACATTAGCAGGGAGCTGGATCAGAAGTGGAGCAGCCAGGACTCAAATGGGATGCTGGTACTGCAGGCAGCAGTTTAACTCATTATGCCACAGCACCAGCCCCCATGTACATGTAGATGATGTTTTCTATTCCCTTGGCTGTAGATACCTAGGAGTAGGTTGCTGGGTGATTTCATTACTGTATGCTTAACCTTTTTGAGGAGCTGCCTGACTTTTCCAAAGCAGTTATACCATTTTATATTCCCACCAGTAGTGTATGAGAATTCCAGTTAATTTCCTAATCTTTGCCAAGAGTTATTAGTGTCTTTTTTATTATAGCCTTCTTAGTGGCTATGAAATAATATCGCAGTTAGATTTTTTTGTTGTGTGTTTATTTTATTTTCAAGTATCAATGAATTTAAAAGATTTAAGTCAGACAAGGAATATTCTGCAATGATAGTGAAACTAAAATACAAATCAGTAACAAAATATAACTGGAAAATCCCAAGATATTTGGAAATTTTGTAACATACATTTTTCTAAAATTGTGGTAGAAAACACAAATTTAAAGTGTACTCTTTTGACTATTTTTAAATACACAAGTCAGTGATGTTAAGTACATTCACACATTGTTGCACAGCCATCTTCACCAGCCATCCACGGAATGCTTTATCTTGTGACACCAAAACTCCATACCCATTAAACACTAACTCCCCATTCTCTCCTCCCCCCAGCTCCTGGCAGTCTTGACTTTGCTGTCCTTATGAATTCAGATCTTCCAGGAAATTCATAAGTGGAATCACACAGTGTTTGTCCTGATGTGACTTGCTTATTTTTCTTAGCAAAATGTCCTCAAGGTCCATCCATGTTGTATCATGTGTCAGAATCTCCTTCCTAAATAATACTCTGTGTACTCTCAGAATGGTTTCCTTTTACCTTCTAATGACTAATGAAGCTCAGCATCTTTTCATGTGCTTATTGGCACATGAGAGAAGATACTGTATACCTTCTTTGGCGAAAGTTCCATTCAACTCAGAGCTCATTTTTAACAAAGTAATTTATTTGCGAGAGAGAGACAGAGGCCATAGAGCTCCCGTCAGCTGGTCCACTCCCTAAATGCTGGCAGAAGTCAGGACTGGATTATGCCACAACCAGGAGCTAGGAACTCAATTCAGGTCTTCTGCAAGGTTGGCAGTGACCCAAGCATTTGAGCCATCATCTGCTCCATCCCAGGGTTCCCATTAGCAGGAAGCTGGAATCAAGAGTGGAGCTTGGACTCAAATCCAGGCACTCTGATGTGGGATTAGGCATCTCAGTTTACATCTTAGTGCTAGGCTAAATACCCACCGTCCCTGGTTCACTCCCTAACTGCCTGCAATGGCCAGGACTGGGCCAGGTTGAAGCCAGGAGCCTAGAACTCAATCTGAGTCTCCCACGTGGGTAGCAGGGACTCAAGTACTTGGGCCATCATCTGCAGCCTCCCGGGGTATGCATTAGCAGGAAGCGAGATCAGAAGTGGACAAGCTATTCTTGAAACAGGCTCTCTGATATGGGATGTATAAGAAGCAACTTAACCACTACACAAACACCCACTTCTCAGTTTTTAACTTTTTATTGTTGTAAGAACTTTTTTATATATTCTGGATACTAGTCCATTATCTGATATATGATTGGCAGATATTTCTCCCATCCTGTGTGTTGTCTTTTCACTTTTGTAATAATGTCCTTTGAAGTACAAAAGGTTTTAATTTTTAAATTTAATTTAAAATTTAAATTTAATTTAAAATTTAATAAATTGAATTTAATTTTAATTTTTTAATTTTGACGAAATCTGATTTAGCTTTTTTTTTTTTTTTTTTTGCTTGTGCTTTTAATGTTTTATCTAAAAACCTTGCTTAATCTAAGGGCAAGCTATGTTTTCTCATAAAGTTTCTTCTAAGAGTTTCATAGTTTCACCTCTTAAATTTAGGTCTTTGATTCAGTTTGAGTTAATTTTTATATGGTATTTGGTAAGAAATCCAGCTTTATTCTTTTGCATGTGCATATCCAGTTGTCCAGGCAGCATTTGTCAAAAATATTTCCTCTGTAGATTTGTCATGGCAATCTTGTCAAAAATCAGTTGACCATCAATGTAAGGTTTATTTCTGGACTCTCAGTTCTATTCCATTGACCTATATGTCTATCCTTATGCCAATACTACCCTGCCTTCAGTTTCTTTAGTTTTGTGTAGAGATTTTGAAATCAAACTGTGAGTCATCCAATAGTGTTCTTTCTTTTCCAAATTATTTTTAGCTATTATGAGTCCCTTATGTTTTCATATGAGTTTAAGGTCAGTTTATCAATTTCTGAAAAAAGGGAGCTGGGATTTTGATAGAGATTGCATTGAATATGTAGATCAATGTGAAGAGTATTGTTATCTTTTTTTTTTTTAATTTATTTTTTTATTTTTTTTTGACAGGTAGAGTGGACAGTGAGAAAGACAGACAGAGAGAAAGGTCTTCCATTGCCGTTGGTTCACCCTTCAATGGCCGCCATGGCCGGTGCGCTGTGGCCGGCGCACCGTGCTGATCCGATGGCAGGAGCCAGGTGCTTCTCCTGGTCTCCCATGGGGTGCAGGGCCCAAGCACTTGGGCCATCCTCCACTGCACTCCCTGGCCACAGCAGAGAGCTGGCCTGGAAGAGGGGCAACCGGGACAGAATCTGGCGCCCCGACTGGGACTAGAACCCGGTGTGCTGGCGCCGCAAGGCGGAGGATTAGCCTAGTGAGCCGCGGCGCCGGCCTAGAGTATTGTTATCTTAACAATATTTGTTCTTCCAATCCATGAACATGAGATATCTTTCCATTATTTAGGTCATCAATTATTTTCAACAATGTTATATAAGTCTTAAACATTTTATGATTTCCTTTTTTTTAAAGATTATTTTTTATTTGAAAGAATTACAGCAAGAGGAGAGAGAGGGAGGGAGAGAGAGAGAGATCTTCTATCCTCTGGTTGACTACAATAGCCAGGGCTGGGCCAGGCCAAAGCCAGGAGCCCAGAGCTTCTTCTGGGTCTCCCATGTGGATGCAAGAGCCCAAGCACTTGGGCCATCATCTGCTGCCTTCCCAGGCCCATCAGTAAGGAGCTGGATTGAAAGTAGAGCAGCTGGGTCTCCAGCTTGTATCCACATAGGATGTCAGCAGAGAGGCAGAGGCTTAACCTGCTGTGCCACAACACTGGCCTCCATGATTTCCTTTTTTTTTTTTTTTAAAGATTTATTTATTTATTTGAAAGGCAGAGATACAGAGAGAGAAGGGGAGAGAGAGAGAGAGATCTTTCATCCACTGGTTCACTCCCCAAATGGCTACAACAGCCAGGGCTGGGCCAAGCTGAAGCCAGGAGCTTCCACCAGGTCTTCCCTGTGGATACAGGGCCCCAAGTTCTTGGGCCATCTTCCACTGCTCTTCCAGATGCACCAGCAGGGCGCTGGATCAGATGTGGAACAATCGGGACTTGAACTGGTGCCCATATAGGATGCCGACACTGCAGGCAGAGGCTTAACTTTCTATGCCACAGTGCTGGCCCCAGTTTCCTTTTTTTTTTTTTTTTTTTAAATTTTTTGCCAGGCAGAGTTAGACAGTGAGAGATAGACAGAGAGAGTTATAGACAGTGAGAGAGAGACAGAGAGAAAGGTCTTCTTTCCGTTGGTTCACTCTGCTAATGGCCGCTACGGCCAGCGCTGCGCCGATCTGAAGCCAGGAGCCGGGTACTTCCTCCCGGTCTCCCATGGGGTACAGGGCCCAAGCACTTAGGCCATCCTCCGCTACCCTCCCGGGCCACAGCAGAGAGCTGGACTGGAAGAGGAACAACCAGGACTAGTACCCGGCGCCCCAACTGGGACTAGACCCCAGGGTGCTGGCGCCGCAGGCAGAGGATTAGTCAAGTGAGCAATGGCGCAGGCCCCAGTTTCCTTTTTTAAAAAAAGATTTATTTACTTATTTGAATGGCAGAGTTAGAGAGAGAGGAGAGACAGAGAGAGAACTTCTGTGTACTGATTCACTCCCCAAATGCTCACAAACAGGTAGGGCTGGGCCATTCTGAAGCCAGGAGCCAGGAATTCCACTGAGGTCTCCTGTATGTGTGGCAGGAACCCAAGGACTTGGAGCATCATCTGCTGCCTCCCACATGCATTAGCAAGAAGCCGGATTAGAAGTGGAGTAGCCAGGACTTGAACCAGCACCCTGATACAGACTGTGGGCATCCCAAGTAAACCTTTACCCTCTGTACTGCAATGCATGCCCAAGAGCTAACTTTTAAAAATTTATTTATTTGAGAGAGCCAGTGTGCAAGAGAGAGAGATCTCCCACCCACTGGTTCACTTCCCAGATTTCCACAATGGCTGGCATTGAGCTGGGCCAAAGCTGAGCCAGGCTGCAGCTGGTAGCCAGGAACTCAATCCAGGTCTCCCACTTGAGTGGCTGGAACCCAATCCCTTGAGCCATCCTCTCTGCCCTCCCAATGCTGCATTAGCAGGAAACTGGAATCAGAAGCCAGAAGCAGTTATCAAACCCAGGCCCTCTATTGGATATGAGATGTGAGTATCCTAACCCATGTTTGACTACCAGGCCAAACACCTGCTTCCAAAGAACTAAATTTAAGTTTTATTGTCTTTTTTTAAAATTTTTCTATTTATTACATTTTGTATAGTCTTTAGTATTTCCTTCTTTCTGCTTGTTTTGGGTTTACTTTGCTGTTCTATTTCTAGTGTCCTAGGTAGAATTCTAGGTTAATTGATTTGAAAGAAATTTATGTTTAGAGTGTAACTAGAGGTGATGATTATATTCCTTAAAATGCTTTCAGATGACTGTTATTTAGATGGTTATGAGGTAGAATGAGCTTTTCGGAACTTTCTTGGGAAAAAAACACTGTTTACTTGTTCAGGTTGCTATTCAAAAACTGAACATGAATCAGTAACATTAAAACATAACTTTAGAAATGAGAACAGAATCAAGTACACAAAACTGGTGAAAAATTCCCATTCGTGACACTAGTCAAAATTTTAGTGTTTTGTTCAGATAAATCACACTGCAACCCAAAGATGTATTTGACTGCTGTAACCTCTTGCTGAAAGCTGCACAGTCACTCTTGCGGCTGTTTTCCGTATATGGTGAGAAAGTCAACTCCCCTAGGTTAATTCAAAGCAGAAGAATACAGTTGTTATACAAGGTCATTTGGATCTGGAATATTCCTCAAAATCCATGCTTAGCATTCTTTTATGTTTTCTAACTTGGCACTAAGAAGTGCATGCTGTAGGTATCTCCTATTTTTTTTCATTCCTTAATTTCCCTGTCACTTAAACTGTTATTTATTTGACTGGAGTCTTTTTTGTTCATTATGCAAACATGTCTTTGCTTTAAACATAACTGATTTGATGGATACTTCAGTTCCTCATCAAACATTTTTTTTGCTGTACATAACATTTTCTTTGGCAAACTCTAGCAATTTCCCACATTTACTAGGTCAGTACTCTGGCATTTGGACATGCAATCATGTTAACTCCCATTTTCTTTTGTAATGCAACCCCTTCTATTTAGATAGATTAATAATCAGTGACTTTTATAATTCTCCAATGATATGTTTATACAAAAATAAAATTACCTCTAAAACAGTATTACATCTCCTAAATGGTCAGTCTTGCCATAGCGTAATGCCTTAGAGGAAGGACTACGGTAAGAGTCAGTACAGTGATCAGATGGTCTTCATAAGCGTATTCAACTTTAAAGGCACTGTGATTATTTAGACAGAATAGAAGAAAGTCAAGTGAAAACCTAATGGCCGTGGAGTCTCATAAATGTTTCGTGTTCAGAGGCCGGTCACCAGCTGCTTTCCTTCTCTAAGAAGCTGACAGAAAGTGGGCTTTGGATGCAATATAAACATGTTCATTAGACAGTTTCTCTAGAGTGAGAACAATGGGGTGAGTTGCTAAGGAAATTGTGAAAGACTCTCTAATGATCTCTAAAGATATAATGAACACTAATTCATCTGGATTTGTTTAGGTGTGGTCCTGGTTAAAGGCAAAGGGGAAGGATCAGATAACTTCATGCTTTTTCCATTTAATATACCCAATAGATTCTTGACTAAGAGAAGGGAAAATAAGCAAGATACAGCCCAGTATCCTAACAACAACCAGCCTTAGGGAATCATTTTGAAAGCATCTGTTTTGGACTTAGTCTTTTATACTTAACCATGCTGCCAATGTAGTGAAAACTTCTAGTGCCTGGATTTTACAGGGTAGAAGAAGGGTATGGAGTCAAGTGGCCAGCATTTGATGTTAAGATCAGCAGTGAGATCCTCCTTGCTGTCTTTCTGTTTTGACTGTTCTGGACAATGTCAAATTAGTTTCAGTGGCTTGATTCTAGGCCAGGGTTCTGGCAGCAGAGTGTAGTCTCACTTTGTTTTGCTCAATCTCAATGGATCTCTCTTCTCTCTCTTTTTCCCCCCTTAGGCTGAGGGTAAAAAGCTAGGATTGGTAGGCTGGGTCCAGAACACTGACCGGGGCACAGTGCAAGGACAATTGCAAGGTCCCATCTCCAAGGTGCATCTTATGCAGCAATGGCTTGAGACAAGAGGAAGTCCCAAATCGCACATTGACAGAGCAAACTTCGACAATGAGAAAGTCATCTCAAAGTTGGATTATTCAGATTTCCAAATTGTGAAATAATATCCTGAATCTAAATTTTCTAAGATAAACTCAGTGGTTTGGGTTGTTATTGTTAATAGAGATAGAACTACTATTCTGTATTCAATATTAGAAGTTGTCAGTAAGTTATTTTAGTATCAGGTATTTGAATGTTACTGTGTATTACATGTGACAGAAGGATTCCAGCTGTACACAATTGTAATCAATAAAAACACATTAGAACCTTATGCTTGGGGTACTTTTTTTCATCTTTGGTGAACTTCATTTTGGGCAAAGTAAGAAGTATGTGTTCAGAAAACATTTGTGGGAAAATGTTGAGGTATTTAAACAGGTCTGAGAGAAAAAGCAGTCACTTGGGAATCATTTCTTTAAGTGGCATCCCTGAAGTTTTCTTCTTGAAATTGCATGCCTAATAAGAACAAATACCACAGTTCAGTTTGTTAGCTGTTCAAATTATGTCTTTGAACTTTTGGTTTTCTGAAACTTCTGCTGTCATTCCTTTCCTCTGGGTCAGAAATTCACAAGTTATGGGCTGAATTGTACCCCACCCCTCAACCCCGGAAATTCATAGGTTGAATTCCTAATTCCTACGGCCTCAGAAAGTGACTGTATTTGGAAATAGGGCTTTTAAGGAAGCAATTAGGATTAAATGAGGCTGTTAAGGTGGGTCCTAATCCAATGTGACTGGTGCCCTGTAAGAGGAAATTCGGATATGGACATCTGTGTGCACAAGTGAAAGACCACTGATGCAGATGGCCGTGCGCATGCCCAGGAGAGGCCACAGACGACAGCGTCCCTGCCGCCAGCGCGATCTGAATTCTAGCCTGCAGAACCGGGAGAAAATAAAGGTCCACTGTTTAAGTCTTGCGGTATTTTGTTACGGCGGTCCTAGTAAATTTACATAAGCAATGATCAGAATTGTGCTTCATAAGCCCTAGAAGTGGTTTGTTTAATCATTAAACAAGCACATATTAAACACTGGTTCCGACACATTTGTCATCAATTCCATTTTGTTAAACGTTTCAATGGAAGCGAGACAAAGCAAGGGCAGGATTGCCTAACCATTCCCAACACATGTATTCTCGTAGTGTTAGAGTTCTGCTCCTTCAGCTGGAAAGAGACCAAAAGTCAAAGCAGGGGGCTTGGCGCCCTTTGCAAGTTAACAGAGTTAAGCCAATTTTTCTGGCTTTTCCAGCTCCGAAATGTTATGATTCTATGATGGAAGGCCCTGGATTTATTCATGGAGCGCCCACCATTAGGCCAGGCACTGTTGTCATCCTTGGGGGTACCGCAGTAAACCAAATCCTACCCTCATAGAGCTTACATTCTGGAGAGAAGACCCTGGGTAATCTACATGTTGAATTGAATGGCAATTTACTAGGTGTTGGAAAACAGGAAAAATGCACAAACAGCCTTTCACGCCGGGCCAAAGTGGCCAAGAATGAGAATTGGGGGTGCCCCTCGGAAGAGAACCTAAAGAGGTTCCAGGCTGGGGGTGGTGGCGGTGGCGGCGGGGCACACCTGGTGCGCACGCGCACCGCGGTGTCGCGCAGGAAGCGTGCGGTTGGCGCGTCCCTTCGGAAGCGCATGCCCGCGGGCTGGCGCGTGCACGAGCCCGGCGAGCCGAGCGCGCGGCGTCCGAGGCGGTTGGTTACCGAGAGTGGGTGAAGCGCGATTCGAGGTGACTTGGGGGAGAGCGCGCGACCAAAGGATGGTTCGGGAGTTGTGCTAACGGCCGCAGGGCCTGGCGAGCGCCGTGGGCGCCGTGCCGAGCCGGGCGCGCCAGGCTCCGGTTGGTTGCGGCGCGGGGCGCGGGGCGGGGCGGGCCTGAGCCCGGGGTGGAATCAGGAAGTCGTGGCGCTGGGTTTGCTTTCATCGGAATATTTACGAAACGTTTACTCCTCGGTTGCCGCCGTCTGCGAGCCTGGGTATCTCGGAAAGCTTCCGAAGCTCCTGGTTTGGAGATCCAGCCCTAGCACCTGTGAGGGGGCCCGCCGCCCCGTCCTCTCCCGTGCGAAGACGACCGCAGACGTAATGGCCGCACAGTCCTCTTACGGTTCTATACCTGCAAGCAAACTTAACGTCGCCTTAGCCCCATTCCATCATGAGTGTGGCCAGGGTCGTGCGTGCCGTGTGTAAAGACAGGACCTTCTAAAAGCTTCCTATCAGAGCAAATACACGAACAAGTTTTAAAATTCAGATGGTAAAGGAAGGCTTACTTGGCGACCGGTCTGTTCCAGTTCCAAACCTCTTTCCCCCGAGGGGACAACATTTATCCAATAATAATAATGATCTCTGGATGTCGCGCTCTGCGTGATACAGTTTGATGTTTTTATTTACAATTGTTGCTTCGCCTTTCCTGTTACAAGATCTTAGCACTTCATTCTAAGCTTTTTTTTTTTCTCTCTAAAAGTCATGGTTATTGTGTGATGTATAAATGTTATGAAACTAACAGGCTTTTTTTCATGAATAATTTCTAGTTAATGTTTCTTAGCTGAATTTAATTTAGGCATCTGTTTTTCGTGAAGTGGTTAGAATTTCGAGTACTGTCTTTATGGGTCAACTTTAAGTGTAATTATGATTTCACTTTAGGGCATGTGGACTTTAGAAAGGAGCAATGAAAATTATGAAATTATGAATGTTTCTTTGGATGTTAAATCTGTTGCACCAAGCGTGAGTTTTGTGATCTGCCTAGAAATCAGAGGTATAATTTTTTTGGTTTCACAATTTGGTTTAATAAAAGTTTTCATTTACCAAGTGATATTTCTTCATAATGCCTGGGAGAAATGGGTAACGCTCTGTAACTCTGAAGCTTTGATAGTGTGTGTGGTTTTGTTCTGTTCTTTCCCTCCCATAGGCCAGAGGAGGAAACCAGTGCCTGGCATTCCCACCAGCTGTCTGCCTGCCATGATCAAGTGCTTGTCGGTTGAAGTGCAAGCCAAATTGCGTTCTGGTTTGGCCATAAGCTCCTTAGGCCAATGTGTTGAAGAACTTGTCCTCAACAGCATCGATGCCGAAGCAACATGTGTGGCGGTCAGGGTGAACATGGAAACCTACCAAGTTCAAGTGATAGACAATGGATTTGGAATGGGGAGTGTTGATGTAGACAAGGTGGGGAATCGTTATTTCACCAGTAAATGCACCTCGGTACAGGACCTGGAGAACCCAAGGTTTTATGGTTTCCGAGGGGAGGCCTTGGCAAGTATAGCTGACATGGCCAGTACCATGGAAATTTCATCTAAGAAAAACAGAACAATGAAAACGTTTGTGAAACTGTTTCAGAATGGAAAAGCTCTGAAAGCTTATGAAGCTGATTTGACTAGACCAAGTGCTGGGACAACAGTAACAGTCTATAACTTATTCTACCAGTTGCCTGTAAGGAGGAAATGTATGGATCCTAGACTGGAGTTTGAGAAAGTTAGGCAAAGGATAGAAGCTCTCTCACTCATGCACCCTTCCATTTCTTTCTCTTTAAGAAATGATGTTTCTGGTTCCATGGTTCTTCAGCTCCCTAAAACCAAAGACATGTGTTCCCGATTTTGTCAAATTTATGGATTGAGGAAGTCCCAGAAGTTAAGAGAAATACATTTTAAATATAAGGAGTTTGAGCTTAATGGCTATATCAGCTCTGAAGCACACTACAATAAGAATATGCAGTTTTTGTTTGTGAACAAAAGATTAGTTTTAAGGACAAAGTTGCATAAACTCATTGACTTTTTATTAAGGAAAGAAAGTATTATATGTAAGCCAAAAAGTGGTTCTGCCAGTAGACAAATGAATTCAAGTCCTCGGCATCGATCAACCCCGGAGCTCTATGGGATATACGTGATGAATGTGCAGTGCCCGTTCTGTGAGTATGATGTGTGCATGGAGCCAGCAAAAACACTGATTGAGTTTCAGAACTGGGATACTCCCTTGGTTTGCATTCAGGAAGGAGTGAAACTGTTTTTAAAGCAAGAAAAATTATTTGTGGAATTATCAGGTGAAGATATTAAGGAATTTAATGAAGATAATGATTTTAATTTATTTGGTACTACTCTTCAGAAGCACGTAACCTCTGATGAGAAGTGTGGCCAGGGCAGTTTCCAGGAAGCATGCAATAATATTTTGGATTCCTATGAAATGTTTAACTTACAATCAAAAGCTGTGAAAAGAAAAGTTACTATAGAAAACATAAACACAGAGAATTCTAAGGGTTCAGAAGCTATCAGAAAAAAGACACATGATTCATTTTTGTCCACTCATGAATCAGATGGCCCATTGCGTAATAAAATGGCAGAGTCATCTTTACTCAATGATAACTCTTGCCCAGATTCAAGGATGTTAGAACAAGAGACAGTTGAAGCATCAGACACAAGAGAAAACATAGAACATAAAACTTGCCTTGAACCTAACTCTTTAGAAGATCCACATAGAGCCACTTCAGAAGAGTTTTCAAATGCTTTTCAAACATATCATTTAGAGAAGAATGAGGAAGATCTAGAAGTACAGAAAGAGAGTATGACTGTCAATGGCGTGGCTGCCAACATTCTGAAAAATAATACCATGCAGAATCAACTAGAGAGACTGGGAGATGCTACTGCAATGGGATGCCAGCCTCTGTCTTTTGAGACAACATTATTGAACGTACATAGTGCTCAGGGAGAGAAAGAGAAAAGAAAAGCAGAGCCTGGGGATTGTGGAGGAAGAAGCAACTTTAGTTATGGACAAGTTAAATTATGTTCCACTGGCTTTATCACTCATGTGGTACAAAGTGAGGTGACTCAGCCCACTGGAGCAGAACCTACCTTTAAAAATTACGTTCGACCTGGTCCTGCAAGTGCCCAAGAGATGTTTGGAAGTGGAACACGTCATTCAGTTGAGACTCCAGATGTCAGAGATTTAACCAGCATTTTAAGTAAAGAACCTGCTCAACTGCCCAACAAAAAATTTTGCAGAACAAATGTAGGTAATGGGCTCAAGAAAAGACCCATAGCAATTTACAGAGATTTTGCCATTTTTGAGGAAAGTGGTCGAAAAGCACACACAGACTGTTTATTACCTGATACATCTTTCCCTTTGCAAGGACATATTTCAAGTGGTTGTAAGAAAACAAATACATTGATTAGTTCATCCAAACCCATAGCCCGTAAGAAGCTATGCTTGCGTTCACCGCTGGGGTCTTTAGAGAAGTTTAAGAGGCAGTATGGGAAGGTTAGTTCTCTGGCTACAGAAGTGAAGGAAAGTAATGCTGACGTCACTAACGGTCTCAGTCCTCAAGTTGTGTCTGAATCTGACATTCCACTGAAAGATCAGAATTGCTCAGACAACTCTGATATTTGTGAAAGTGCGGCCATGAAGTATAATGCGTCCAGCGGTGGTTGTCAGCCGCTGAGTCGCATCCTGTACTCAGAGAAGTTTCCGTTGTCTGAGGAAGAAGGTGGTTTGGAACAACAGATGGCTCATTTGAGAGAAAGTCCTATACCTTTCAAGGAGTTGTCGGACTTTAACAGAAGGCCTTTGGATGTTGAGAAGTCGCCTGAATCACTAGCCTCTAAATTATCCAAACTGAAGGGTTCTGAAAAAGAGACAGAAGCAATGGAAGTGAGTCATTTTAATGAACTTCCAGATTCAAATTCCAATACAGAAGACAGTAATTTGTGCAGTGGCCTAACCCTAGGTTTTTGTAAGTTACTTGAAAGTGAGCATAAAAAAACAGAGACTGACACCAGCTCAAGATCAAATTCTGTTACACAGGGTAATTCCTTCAATAAAGGTAACGAAACACATTCTGACAGCAATACGACAGAGAATTCTGTGATACCGGAAACTCTTTTGGTTTTACCTTACAGTAATTCTGAAGTTATCAATAAAAGTTCAGACATTCTTATCGGAGCTTCAGAACGACAGACAGGAAGTCCCGCCTCTCCCAGTAAAACGTTAATGAGTCAGGTAGAAGATTCCCCAGCCAAACAAAATGAAATTGGTTTTCAGAGTAGCGGATCTAAAGCAAGGGCTTGTTCTGGAAAAGAAGAGTCAACCACATCCTCCTTGGATTGGCAGCAGCACTTTGATGTCGCCCTGGGAAGGATGGTTTACATCAACAAAATGACAGGGCTCAGCACGTTCATTGCTCCTGCTCAGGACATTCAGACCCCTTGTACGAAGGACCTGACAACCGTGCCTGTGGATGTCGTGCTTGGGAATGGTAAGTGTAGCTTGAAATGCTTTTGAAGCTGTGGAATAGTGGCCAAAGAGTAAGGAAACCCGTGTTCAAGGAGACGGTGACAGCCGATAGAACATTTGAAGGCTATTTGTGAAACCTGTGTTTGTGTTTTGTCATATATGAAGATTTTAGGTCCAACACTGTTAGCTATAAAAATTCAGTGAAAAACTGATTGAGGATATAAGTGTATGTAGAACATGTCTAAGAAAGGGGCAAGACAGCCACATTTTAATGGAGTCTGGGAAGATCCACAGTGCTTCCTGACCTCGCTTTCCCCTCCTAGAAATTTGCAGTGCCAGTGTAATATCCTTCTGGAAGTTTCTCTGGCTCCTAAGTTGAGGGCCTGGACAATTCTGTAATTCATCGTAGAGTTCTCAGTAAAATTCATTGTTCAGTACAGTACTATATTTATGGACTTTTTCCCAGAAAGTAGGACTTCACCATAAAATTCTCAAAAGATAGGTTAAGTATATATTTATGTAACTGTACTTTCCAGATGTGCTTTGTTAACAATGCGTATGGTAATCCACTTGATCTATTCCTGGTATAAGTAACTGTTATTCAGGAAGAGAACCACGTGACCTTGAATCCTACAAGGATACATTGTAGGCTAGCCTAGGACTCTGGGCTTAGCTCTCAGTCAACATTAGAAGTGACATTGTTCTGGCAGTGTGTTGAGAACCAGATGTTGGGAGATGGTAAAGCTGATTTCCATCTGGCTGTAATCTTGGCTTTGCACTAGGAGGGTAAACATTAAATCTGCATCCACATTAAAAGTCTTAAATGCTGCAAAAGAATGTAAATTGTGTGAACGTAATTGCAGATCAACTCAGTTTCTCCTTAGGATGAATAGCTCTAGCAGGAGGCTTTGATTTCTTTAAGGATGAATAAGAGCTTTGCTTTTCAGTGTTCTCCACGTCTTCCCCCCTTGTGGGGACAAAACATAATCACTGTAGTGACTTGAGAGTACTAAGCGGGAGGAGAAAACCCTTTTGTGTCAGTATTGCTGCAGAGACTACCAAGTTGCTTGTGAAGTGTGTAGTTTCATGTCCTGGTTTAGACTGAATGTTTATCAGAGAGAACTCTTAAACACTCGCACCTCATCTTCCCTATATGTGACTGCTTCTGATGCAGTGCCTGAAAATAACTGGGTTACCTTAAATTGTGAGGTGGCTCTTGCTAGAACAAAGGGAGGAATCTTCACTGCCATACTCAAACATGTGCTGTTAAGCGAACCTAAGTGCATGAAGCATGTCAGCCTTCACTGTCTGGACCAGCGTGCGGCGTGAATGTTTGAGGGCAGGTGAACTCCTCATTTCCTACTGAAAACTATTTTTTTTTTCTTAAATTTTTATTTATCTTTATTTTTTTTTGACAGGCAGAGTGGACAGTGAGAGAGAGAGACAGAGAGAAAGGTCTTCCTTTGCCGTTGGTTCACCCTCCAATGGCCGCTGTGGCCGGCGCGCTGTGGCCCACACTGCGGCTGGCACACCGCGCTGATCCGAAGGCAGGAGCCAGGTACTTCTCCTGGTCTCCCATGCGGGGGCAGGGCCCAAGGACTTGGGCCATCCTCCACTGCACCCCCTGGCCACAGCAGAGAGCTGGCCTGGAAGAGGGGCAACCGGGACAGAATCCGGCACCCCGACGGGGACTAGAACCCGGTGTGCCGGTGCCTCAAGGTGGAGGATTAGCCTAGTGAGCCGCGGTGCCGGCCTTGAAAACTATATTTGGTATGGAAGCAAGTTGCGTGAAAAGGTAGCCTCTCGGCCCCATTATCTCAGGTGGAATGCTGCCTTTCTGGAAAAGGCTGTTGTACAACAGAAATGTTACGTGAGATGCATTGTGAAGGGATACATTTTATTGTATGTAAGAGGATCTGTAAAGGTAATTTTAGGAAGTAGTGTCAGGGCTGGTGTTGTGGCCTGCCAGAGAAAGCTGCCTCCTGCAATGCCAGCATCCCATATGGGTGCTGGTTTGTGTCTCAGCTGCTCCACTTCCCATCCAGCTCCCTGCTAATGGCCTGGCAAAAGCAATGGAAGATGGCACAGGTGCTTGGGCCGATGGTAGCCACAAGGGACACCTGGAAGAAACTCCTGGCTCCTGGCTTTGGCTATTGCACCCATCTGGGGAGTGAACCATGGATGGAGATCTCTCTGTCTCTCCCTCTCTGTGATTTTGACTTTCAAATAAATAAGTAATTAAAAAAAAATAGTGTCAAAACTCTTAGCCATAGTGATTTAAAAAAAATCTTTAACTCCATTTTTTGCATTACAATTTTTTAATGGTTTTTATATGTATTTGAAAGGCAGAGTGACAGGGAGGGAGAGAAGAGAGATTGAGATCTTTGATCTGCTGGTTCACTTCCCAAATGACCACAATGGCTGGAGCTGGGCCAGGCCAAAGCCAGGAGCCTGGAACTCCATCCAGGTCTCCCATGTGGGTTTAGGGGCCCAAGTGCTTAGGCTGTCTTCCGCTGCTTTCCCGGGTGGATTAGCAGTGGGCTGGATTGGAAATAAAGGAGCCAGAACTCAAACTGGCACCCATATGAGATGCTGGCATGGCATAATGCTGGCCCCTAACTCCATTCTTTCCAATACCAGTTATAGAATACTTTGTTTCTCCTTGTACTTTAGTTTATCATTCTTAGTTACTATCTCTCTTTCCAGTTCTAGTCCTGCAGATTTATTTTTTGAAGCAATCATTTCATCATGTTTTTCTCCTTTTTAAAAATTGTCATCTGCATTATTTCTGAAACTCAAATCTAATTGTCCTCCTGAGAGATAAGTAGAATTTGGATCATGTCTTACCAGACTTTGGAGTTTGACTTGATAACTTATCATTCATTCATCTATTTATTTATGTATTCATTCAACATTTGGGGTTTTTTTTTGTTTCATTTATTTTCATTTTATTTGAAAGGTGGAGACAAGAGGAAAATCTCTGCTTGCTCAGTCTCCAGATGCTTATAACGTCTGTGGCTGAGATGGGCTGAAGGCAGGTGCCAGGGACTCGATTCTTGTCTCCCACATGAGTGGCAGGAACCCAAGTACTTGAACCATCATCTGCTGCCACCCAGGGTGCACATTAGCAGAAAACGGGACCAGAAGCAGAGAAACTGGGACTCAAATCAGGCACTCCAATATGGGATGTGTCCCAAGTGACAACGGCTGTGCCAAATGCTCACCTCTGTTCTTTCAACATTTGTTGATCATTCACACTGTGCAAGGAGTTGTCACATTGAAGTTTTTTTTGTATGGAATAGTATGAATGTTTATTTTTCTGTATGATTTTTTTTCACTGTCCTGTTTTTACAATATAGAAAACTCTGTTCTTTGAATAGCTCTAGTAAATATAAATTTAATTTTTCCACTTTGGGGTATAATTTTTTCTACTTTGGGGTATAAATAGAGCTAAAAAATTATATACCCATCCCGCCCCAAAAAATCTTTTAAAATTGTTGAGTTAATATGACTATTAATCTTGTTCAGCAATTTGATGCAAATGCCTAAATACAAAAAGTCATTTAGTAAGTACTACCCAGGAAGGCTTAATACTTAAGATAGCTTCTTAAAAATCAGAAAAACTAGTAGCATTTGATTGCACCTTCAAATTTTTATTTATTTATTTATTTATTTTTTTGACAGGCAGAGTGGACAGTGAGAGAGAGAGAGAGAGAGAGACAGAGAGAAAGGTCTTCCTTTGCCGTTGGTTCACCCTCCAATGGCCGCCACGGCCGGCGCGCTGCGGCCGGCGCACCACGCTGATCCGATGGCAGGAGCCAGGAGCCAGGTACTTTTCCTGGTCTCCCATGGGGTGCAGGGTCCAAGCACTTGGGCCATCCTCCACTGCACTCCCTGGCCACAGCAGAGAGCTGGCCTGGAAGAGGGGCAACCGGGACAGAATCTGGCGCCCCGACTGGGACTAGAACCCAGTGTGCGGGCGCTACAAGGTGGAGGATTAGCCTAGTGAGCCGCGGCGCCGGCCGCTCCTTCAAATTTTTATAAGCAAAACATTCTCAAGCAATGCAATCTACAACTGGAATTGATACTCCACGAACACTTTCTGCACACTGTATATAAATACACATCACAACAGGGCAATTAGAATTAACATAGAGTATGTACAAAATGAACAAAGTTTAGGTTTAGACCAAAAACTTATTGCAATCTTTTGAAAAATAACTTGATTAGATATTACTGTATTCTCTTACACTAATTTACACTTGGACAAATTTTAATTAAACAGACTAGATTGAGGTGCTAAGAATGTTTGCACTATCTCCACTTAGAGTTACTGCACTATAATCTTATAAATCCAAATTTCAAAAGGAAGATATTTTAATGAATTAATGGAGTCCTCTTTTGGATTACTTATTTCTACTGCCTGTATCTTGCATGTTCACATGAACATATATAGACAATATATCCACCTGTAGAGTCCTTGTAGGAAGTGTCATGATCACACAATAACAGTTACTGAGGAGTAAAGTACCGAAAGAAATGTCTGAATTCCAACGTTTGTTTTCTTGTAATAAAATCAAGAGTCCTATTACAAAAGGCTCCTAAATTCGTAGAGTTTTTGAATTTCTGAAACTGATTTAGGTTATATTGACATTGAAAATTAATTGACTTTCAGGAGTTCACAGTCTGTTAGGGAAGACAGCTGTCTAAACATAATTAGAATGATGTAAATGTTCTCATAGTGAAATATATAAATGTTGTTCCAAGTTGTTGGTGACAGTACACTCTGTCTTACACTGGGTTTTTCTAGATAATCCTTTTTTGAAGAGGTTGTTCTCTTTATTGTAGGGTGTTTAACAGCAATCCTGGCGTTTATCTGCTAGGTACCAGTAGCATTCTTCACCCGAGTTGTTTTCAATGAACAATATCCCAAGACGTTGCCAGATGTCTCCCTATGATAAGTTGCCCCTATTGAGAACCCTGTGACGCAGGTTGTCATTCTGTTCCATAGAGATGGACAATGGGACTAGCATTCATTAGACTCCTAAGGGCTGGCATTGTGGCACCAGCATTGCATGTCAGAGCTTCCATAGAGATGGACAATGGGACTAGCATTCATGTGGACTCCTAAGGGCTGGCGTCGTGGCACCAGCACCGCGTGTCAGAGCGCTGGTTAGGGTCCCATCTGCTCCACTTGCAATCCAGCTCTCTGCCAATGCACCTGAGAAGTCAGCTGAAGATGGCCAGTGTTCTTGGGCCCCTGCCATCCATGTGGGAGACTGGAATTGAGTTCGTGGCTCTGACTATGGCCTGATCCAGCCCCAACTGTGGGACTTATTTTGGATGGAAGATTGATATTCTCTCTCCCTCTCTCTCATCCATATCTATCTCTCTCCCTCCTTGTCACCTGGCCTTTCAAATAAATAAATCTCTTTTAAAAATGTAAACTTCTAAATTAGAATAATTTCATTAAAGAATTTAGGATTCTCAGTCCAGTGTTTGGTAGATTGCCTTATGTCTTAATTCATTTGGTGCAGAAAGAGATTTTATGTAATTTAACTTTTTACTACTTTATATTTTGAGCTTAAGTTTCTAGGTTTTTCCTTTTTATGTTTAGGGTCTCAGTACAGATGTCATCCTTTTAGAAGTGACCTTGTTCTTCCTTTCCTTCCAAGAGTTCAGGAGAGGACTGTGGCGAGACAGAGTGACAGAGGTAGGGGCAATAACATTGCCTGGACACCTTGTACACGCCGTGCCACCTCACGCACAGAACAAAACAGGGCTGCATTAGTAAGCTTGATCAGTGCCAGCTGTGCCTTATTGGAACCAGGAATTCCCCATGGCCCTATTTCACAGCAGAACTAAGTAACTCAGTGTATGCATTTAGATCAGAAATTACTTTTCCAGACTTGAGGTTAATACTGGGTGATTATGCAGTCTGTGGTGCTTTGTGATCAGGGAGATGTTTCTGATTTTTAACGATGGGGGTCACATTGCATGCTGCAAGAGCTTTATCTAAGTAAAACTGAAAAAAGCGACAGACATCTTTTTTTTTTTTTTTTTTTTTTTTTTTGACAGGCAGAGTGGACAGTGAGAGAGAGAGACAGAGAGAAAGGTCTTCCTTTGCTGTTGGTTCACCCTCCAATGGCCGCCGCTGCTAGCGCGCTGCGGCTGGCGCACCGCGCTGATCCGATGGCAGGAGCCAGGTGCTTCTCCTGGTCTCCCATGGGGTGCAGGGCCCAAGTACTTGGGCCATCCTCCACTGCACTCCCTGGCCACAGCAGAGAGCTGGCCTCGAAGAGGGGCAACCGGGACAGAATCTGGCGCCCCGACCGGGACTAGAACCCGGTGTGCCAGCGCTACAAGGTGGAGGATTAGCCTGTTGAACCGCGGCGCTGACCTAGACATCTATTTTTTAAATTTTTACTAAAAATATATTTTTGTGGTTTTTTTTTAACCTATAGGCAGTGAGGCAGCAAATTTAATTTGAGCCATTGCTTTTTCGGGACTTGTATTTTGAAGTACCTTTTGTAAACAGTTGGGAGAAAAGCTATAATAACAGAAGATACAGCCATCAACTCTAGTTTAAAAAATAGCAGAGCAGAACAGCTTGGAGTTAAAGCAAACACTGAACATCTGTAGAATGTGGGGCAGTGTATCTGATCTTGGGTCTTGAGGCTACAGCCAAGGGAAGTGGGGTTCACCCTTTTTCCTGGGCTCTGGGTGCCAGCTGAATCTTTCCCATTTGCCCTAGATACTGTGGAGGATGCTGTTGGCAGTGAATCCCTGAAGTCTTTGCTCTCAGAATGGGACAACCCAGTATTTACCCGCTACCCAGAGGTGGGTGTGCAGCAGTTTTTATTTGCCTGTTATGTTAAAATTTGAACTTCATTTAAGCTGAGTACGGACACAAATGTATAATTGTGAATAGAAACTGAGTATGTTTCCAGGTAATTTATTTGGAAATTAATGCTTAATGTGGAGAGGAAAAATGAGAATTCATAGCATTTTGGAAGGACTAAACCTGTATACTCAGAGTGTGAATAGTGAATGTGTTTATCGCTGTTGGAAACCCTGACATAGCGGTGGTGCAGTGTTCAGGCTGGTGATGAGAAGACTGCCATCATTAGATAAAGCGGTGAAGCCTCTTCTGGAGGACCGGCTTGTCCGTAGACGTGGGCGTCTGTCCGCAGTGTGAATGCACAGAACGTGGGCGTCTGTCCGCAGTGTGAATGCACAGAACGTACCTCCTACACTGCAGGGTGTGCATAACAAGTGAGCTCTCCATCACTGATTTGTTCAGTCAGGATCTTTAAGGTCTTTGGAGTGTAGACAGATTGTTGATCTGAAGCAGTATTGGTTTTTGTCATTTTGTTTGTTTAAACAAACTTACTTAAGATGATTATTCATAGAGCTTTTTGAATTTCTGTAAGTTCCCTGAATTCAAGCCATCTTTAATAGATTATATGAGAGTGAATATTTTTAAAGCACTTTGAAATCTTTGGTAAAACATTTCTGCAGACACAACAATTAACATTTAAATGACATTTGTGCTGGGTCTTTCTAGGTTGCTGTTGATGTAAGCAGTGGCCAGGCTGAGAGCTTAGCGGTTAAAATTCACAACATTTTGTATCCGTATCGTTTCACCAAAGAAATGATTCATTCAATGCAGGTAAAAGATTGACTTTGAAATCTCATGAAAATATATATAAGGCCTAAGCTGGATTAACTCTCGCAACATTGAATTTAATAAGTGATATAGACCACCTTGGTCTTGGCACATGCTTGTTTTTGTTTTTGTTTTTATCTCACCGGAACTTGACTGTTGGAAGAAAAGCATAGGATTAATTATAATTGCAAAGAAAGAAATGTCCTCAGTGGTGAGAGCAGGTTTGGGGAGACTCAGTTATGAATTAGACTCTCAGTTTCAGTGATTGTTAACGTATTTCTGCAGATTATATGTATTTGTATTTGACAGTAATTTGTAAATCAGCAAAATAGCATTAGAGACTTTGTCCTTAAATGTACAGCAGTGCCCTTTAGAAAATGACCACAGGGCCTGGTATTGTGGCCTGGCGAGTAATGCCACCTCCTGCGACGCTGGAATCCCTAACCCTAGCCCCTAACCCCTAACCCTAACTGGTTTGTGTCCTGGCTGCTCCACTTCTAATCCGTCTTCCTACTGATGACCTGGCCCAGTGCTGGCTGTTGCGGCCATTTGAGGAGTGAACCAGTGAATGGAAGCCCTCACTCTTTCTTTCCTTTTCCTTTTCTCTTTCTTACAAGCAGAGTTAGACAGAGAGAGAGAGACAGAGAGAAAGGTCTTCCTTCCGTTGGTTCACCCCGCAAATGGCTGCTACACCGGCGCGCTGCGCTGATCCAAAGCCAGGAGCCAGGTGCTTCTCCTGGTCTCCCATGGGGTGCAGGGCCCAAGCACTTGGGCCATCCTCCACTGCACTCCCTGGCCACAGCAGAGAGCTGGCCTGGAAGAGGGGCAACCGGGACAGAATCCGGCGCCCCGACCGGGACTAGAACCCGGTGTGCCAGCGCTGCTAGGTGGAGGATTAGCCTAGTGAGCCGCGGCGCTGGCCAGCCCTCACTCTTTCTATCTCTCCCTTACTCTCTGTAACTCTGCCTTTTAAATAGATAAATAAACATTTAAAAAGAAAAAGAAAATGACTGTATTTGCCGTGAGACTACAAAAGCTTCAGAAGCCCCAGGTTGAGGAGCTCTGTGAGCAAAGGGATGCCTGGGCTCATTTGCTTTTCTACTTTGCCCTCTGTTCATCACTGTGGCTGTTGTACTCACCTTGTTTTTAGGGGTTTTTCAATGAATTTTTTAACTATTTATTTATTTTATTTGAAAGGCAGAGCTACAGAAAGAGAGAGAGAGAGAGTCTTCCATCTGCTGGTTCACTCCCCAAATGGCTGCAACAGCCAGGGCTGGGCCAGACCAAAGTCAGGAGCTTCTTGTTTTCATTTTGGAAACAAATTAGGAGGGTAGACAGATGTAGTTAACCTCCTAACCTGGCATTGACTTGTACCAGAACAAGTGAGTGTTAATCCACAAGGTCTAAAGCCCCAGTGGCTTTAACAGAAAAAAACAAAACTTTATATGTTTGTTTATTTCAAAGGCAGAGACACATAGATAAGTCAAGAAAGCACTTCCGTTCACTGGTTCACGCCCCAGATGCCTGCAACAGCCAGGGCTGGGCCAGGCTAGAGTCAGGAGGCAGGAACTCAGTCCATGTCTCCTGCATGGGAGGCAGGGATCCAGGTACTTGAGCCAGCGCCTGCTGCCACCAGGTGTGCATTATCAGGAAGCTGGATTAGAAGTGGAGCCAGGACTTGAACCCAGGCAGCCTGATGTGGGGGTGACTTCCCAAGTGGTATCCTAAGCACAGTGCCAAACACCTGCCCCGCCAGTGGCCTTTGTTGCTGTAATGGACTGGCTCCTCCACAATGGTTTGTCTTGTTTCTGCATGAAGTTTTAAAATTTGTTTCAGCCTATTTACTAGCAGGCTGTACTTACATAGACAGTCCTGTGGTCATATTACCCATTAAGAGTCACTCTCTTGGGAGCATTTCATATCTACTCGGAAGCTTTGTTAGAGTGTCCCTCTCAGGTGTCTGTCAGTCTTCCTTTGTGGTCTCTCATTCTGTGTCTGATCTCTCTCCCTGCCCGTTCTTTGTCTTCCTAATGACTCCCTCAGCTCCATCAGCCCTAGATTATGAGTGTTATAATGAAGACAACTCACAGTACGGTTTTATCGTTTTCTGTGTAAATAAGCCTTTGTTCATTTTTGTGTAGTGTTGTGTCACATATTTGAATGTATCGCAGGTTCTCCAGCAAGTGGATAACAAGTTTATTGCCTGTTTAATGAGCACTAAAACTGAAGAGAATGGCAAAGCAGGTAAGAATGGAGTTTTAGCCTCAATTTAATAACCAGAAAGTCTTCTGATAACCTTTTTTAAGGTTATTTTTGATATACCATACAGTTTCAGTGATTTTGATAGATGAAGGAAAACTAGTCTAAGTTAATAATATCATGAATCAACAATTTTAAATTACAGTTTAATTTCTGTATGTAGATATACTTACATATGCATAAAATACATAGTAAAATATTAGCAGCAGTTCCCATGTGAGTAAAAATGGTGTGCAAAGGGGGAATTTCATCTTTTATTCTGCAAAATATTTTATATTATTTGACTTGTAAATATTTTCATGTTTTCTCTTCATAATGATAGAAAATCTATGTGATGAACTCTGTTAGGTTTATCGAGAGTTACTTAGAACTGCCTGGTGACCTGCCCTAGTGAAACACTAATAGTATGTTACATTGACTGATTCAACAAATATTTTTTTAAATATTATTTATCTGAAAAGCAGAGTAATGGGGAGAGACAGAGAGAGAGAGAGAGAGAGATCTTTTACCCACTGGTTTACTCTTCAAATGGCCACAATAGCCAAGGCTGAGCCAGGCCAAAGCCAGGGCCAAGAACTCTATTTGGGTCTTTAACTTGGGTGGCAGACTCAAGCTCTTGAGCCATCACCTGCTGCTTCCTAGGTACATTAGCAAGGTGCTTGATTGGAAGCAGCAGCTGGGACTTGAACCAGCACTTTGAAATGGAATGTGGACATCCCAAGCATTGCCTTAACTCCCTGTGCTACAATGCCTGCCCCTCATTGAACGAATATTGATTGAATTCCTGTTGTATACTGGGGAATATACCAGGCCTAAGGATACGATGATGGGAAAAGCTATACTCATGAGAAACAGATAAATAACAAACGTAAAATTGTAACGCTAGCTTATGTTGTAAAAAATGCAAGATGCTATATGAACCTGTATTGGGAGATTTGATTTTGTCGGAGGGGCCAAGAAAAAGTTTCTTGGTAAAGTGAGATCTGAAGATCTGAAGCATGAGCATGAGTTAACTGGGTGCAGAAGGGAGGGAGTGACATATGCAGAAGCAGAGCAAGTGTAGCTGGACATGAGGCTGGAGAGCAGTCAGAGGAGCCAGACCTTGAATAACAGTTATAAACTTTTCTTTGTCCCAACACCGAGGGGAAACAATCAAAAGCTATTTATTTATTTATTTATTTGGTGTCATTTTGGGGGTGGTATGTACCACATCACATTTGCTGTTTGGAAAGAATGTTCTGATTGTAGTATGGAGAATGGGTTGGCAGTGGGAGTGGAATTCCAGTAACTGCAGAGCAAGTGATGTGGAAAGATATCACAGTCTTTAAGAAACAATGGTTAGCTGAGACCAGGACAGACTAGTGAGAAATAAATGAAAACATATTTAGGGAATAGACTCAGCAGGGCTTGGTGATGCACTGGATATGGGGAGGGTGTCTCAAAGGTGACCCTGGTTTTCTTCCTTCCATAGCTCAGTGGATGATGTTGCAGGGTGACGTTGGAGGTAGAGCAGACTGGGAAGGGGAACATCGTGAGATAAGAGATGCCAGGAACGGAGCGGATCCTGCAGCTCTGGACTGGAAAAGTGCTGTTCTGATCTAGGGATACAAGTTTAAGTTTTCAGCATAAAATTTGTCATTGAACGCCTAGCATAAACTTTTATCATCTAGAAAAAAGAATGAGTAGTGAGGAGAGGCCCTGAATCTAGAGTAATTCAACATGTGATGGCTGGGTAGAAAAGGGTGAGCCAGCAAAAGAGGTTGTGAAGGAATTGCTAGAGATACAGGAGGAAAACAGAAGAATGTTGTGTTGCAAAGCCAAGACTTCGTGCTCCATGCTGCTGAGACAGTAAGCGAGGTGAGGCCTGTGGTTTTCAGACAGAGATCCGGGACGGTAGCAGAAGAGAGCTGTTTGAGGGAGAGAGGAGACAGAATGCAGACGGTGCTCTTGGAGGCCACCAGAGAAGACTCAGAAAAATGTGATGCGGAAGGGAGGGGCTGGAGGAGGGGGAGGGAGGGCAGAGGAGATGTTTTTAATGGGAGAAGAATCTTGAGGATATTTGCAGGAGCCTCTCCGTATCTTTGGTTTGATTTCTGCAGTTTTAGTTATCCATAGTCAACTGTGGTCTGAATATGTTAAATGGAAAATTTTAGAAATAAAACCATACATTTTAAATTGGGCAACATGATAAAATCTCAAGCCATCCTTTTTTTTTTTTTTTTTAAGATTTATTTATTTGTTTAAAAGACTGAGTTACAGAGAGGCAGAGAGAGAGAGAGAGAGAGAGAGAGAGAGAGAGAGAATCTTTCATCCTCTGGTTCACTTCCCAGATGGCTGCAATGGCCAGAGCTGGGCCAATCCAAAGCCAGGAGCCAGGAACTTTTTCTGGGTCTCCCACGTGGGTACGTGAGCCCAGCACTTGGGCCATCTTCCACTGCTTTCCTAGGCCGCAGCAGAGAGCTGGATCGGAAGTGGAGCAGCTGGGATCCAAACTGGTGCAAACAGTACGGGACCCAGACAGTGTGGGATGCCAGCACTGCAGGCAGCAGCTTTACCTGCTACGCCACAGTGCCGGCCCCAAGCCATCCTTTGTCCTGCCAGTGATGTAGGTCCAGTGTGTGCATGCTGTGAGGCTATTGGATCAGCTCCGAAGGTATCACAGTGCTTGTGTTCAAGTAACCCTTATTTCACTCGGTGCCCCCAAAGCACAAGAGTAGTGGTGCTGCCACTATTATTATATTATATATATAATCTAGTATATTATAATATATTGTTTATTGATAGTTATTGCTGATCTCTTCATGTGTCCAATTTAAAAATTAAACAAAAACAATATATTTAGGTTCAGTACCACCTCTGCTGGGGATCATGGAACATATGCCCACAGATAAGGGGGGCACTGACACAGCCTGATAGGGAAGCCTCCTGAAAAAGGCAGGAGTCGCTGAGAGCCGGGGCACCAGGCAGGGTTGGCTGCAGATGGATCGACTGCAGGAAAGTGCTGCTGAGGTCTAAGAGCAGTTCATTCTCTTTGTAGCCAAAATGTTCCTTTTTACCTTGTTTAGTGAAGGATAGATCAAGGGCACATTAACCTAAAATTCTCTCAGAATGATCAGGAATATGGAATTAGATCAAATTCCTATAATTTTACTGTTTCTAGAAAATTCATAGTTTTTTTTTGTTTGTTTGTTTTGAAATTTGATTGCTTGGAATTTTTTTTCTTGTTTTTGAAATACTGAAATCTCTACTATTGGCACTCATAATGGCTATATCCACAAAATCTGCAGATGTCCAAGAAAGCAAAAGGGACTTAAATTTCTCTTGAGTGTTTTCTGTTTGTTTTTTGGAGAGAGAGAGAGAGAGAGAGTGTGTGTGTGTATTCAGCTGCTGGTGCTGGTTTCCTCCCCAAATGCCACCAGAAGTCAGGAATGCAATCCAGGTCTCCCACGTGAGTGGCAGGAACCCAGTTACCTGGGGGCCAGCGCCATGATTCTCTTGGTTAATCCTGCGGCACCGGTATCCCATATGGGCGCCGGGTTCTAGTCCAGGTTGCTCTTCTTCCAGTCCAGCTCTCTGCTGTGGCCCAGAGGGCAGTGTAGGATGGCCCAAGTGCTTGGGCTCCTGCACTCCCATGGGAGACCAGGAGGAAGCACCTGGCTCCTGACTTCAGATTGGCACAGCTCCGGCCGTAGCGGCCGTTTGTGGGGTGAACCAATGGAGGGAAGACCTTTCTCTCTGTCTCTCTCTCACTGTCTAACTCTATCTGTCAAAAAAAATTTTTCTGGACAATAGAGGGAGGAACCCAGTTACTTGAACTGTCGCTGCTGCCTCCCAGGGTCTGCACTGGCAGGATGCTGGAGTCAGGAGCTGGACCTGGTATTGCGCTTAGGCACTCCAGCAGGGGATGTGGGTGTCTTACCCAGCATCTTACCTGCTAGGCCAGGTGCCCTCCCCTCATCTCTTTGCATTTTTCCCCCCTCAGTATTTTATGTTATCATTGCATTTTTTGGAAGATTTGTTTTATTTATTTGAAGGACAGAGTTACAGAGAGACGTAGAGACAGAGAGAGAGGTCTTCCATCTGATGGTTCACTCCCCAGATGGCCACAACGGCCAGAGCTACACCAATCTGAAGCCAGGATCCAGGAGCTTCTTCCCAGTCTCCCACGCAAGTACAGGGGCCCAAGGACTTGGGCCATCTTGTACTGCTATCCCATGCCATAGCAGAGAGCTGGATCGGAAGTGGAGCAGCCGGTACTAGAACCGGCATCCGTATGGGATACTGGCACTTCAGGCCAGGGCTTTAACCCGCTGTGCCACAACGCCTGCCCCTTATCATTGCATTAGTTTGATACTACCAAAGAATACTCTTAGATAAATACATTTTCCTAAATCACAGTACAAGTATTTTAACTGTCATTCATAAATACCAACTGCAACTTCTTCCTTTAATTGACTTATCCTAATTTTGGTATTTGCCTATTTTAGTGGATAAAAATATTAGTATTATTATTTTAAATTACAGTGATGCTAATACCATATATTAGCATTTTATGTTGTATGTGTCTATTTACTATAAAATACAGTAGTACAGTATGACCCTAAAGAATAAAGATTCACTCATTCATGTTTATATTTGTTTACTTATTTATTTATGGTAGCACTAGTTTTATTTTTTCCAGTTTCATTGTGGTATAGTTGACAAAGGAAATTTTATAAAGTTAAGTTGTAGAGTGATGATTTGATATATGAGTGTATTGTGTAATGATGACTAAAATTAATCAACACATCCATTAATAGGGATGGGGAGCCTTTTTTCTGGCAAGGGCTATTTGGATATTTATAACATTATGCACATGCTATACAAGATTACCAACTTAAAAATTAGCCTGCTATAGATTTATTGAAATGTGAGTGCTGCCTTTAGTTGCCTTGGCAGGGCCAGACTCAGTGATGTCACGGGCCAGATGTTCCCCAGCACTGCACAGTTACTGTTTTGTGTGTGTTGGGGGTTGAGGACACTTAGGATCTATAGTCTTAGTAAATGCCAGGTAAGCAGTCCATTCTTTAATAAATATTAATTGAATTACCAAGCTCTATATTAAGCACTAAGTTTTAAAAGATAACAATACCTCTGAATCTTTTTGTATCGCTCTGCCTGTTAAAACCATAGTATATTTCTTTTTGTCAAGAAATTTTGTATTGACATATGAAAATGACTCATGGAATACAGTGTGGTGATGCATACAGTGTGTAGTGAACAGTCAGGGTGATAACACTTCCATCTCCTTAAGCATTGATCAGTTCTTTGAGTTCGGAGCCTTCAAATTCTTCTCTTCTAGTTCTTTAGAAAGCGTGTAAAAGATGGTTGTAAACCATAGTCACCCTTCTATGATGTTAGACATCAGAACTTGTTCCTGCTATCCAACTGCACTTTGGTATTTGTTACCTGACCTCCTTTTTTTTTTTTTTTTTTTTTAAGATTTATTCATTTATTTGAAAGGCAGTTACAGGGAGAAAGGGGGAGAGATGGGAATGGGTTGAGAGAGAGAGAAAGATCAATCTTCCATTCGCTGGTTCACTCCCCAAGTGGCTGCATTGGCCAGGGCTGGGCCAGCCCGAAGCTAGGATCCAGGAGCTTCTTTCCTATTTCCCATGTGGGTGGCAGGGGCCCATGCACTTTGGCCATCTTCCGTTGCTTTCCTAGGCCGTTTGCAGGGAGCTAGATTGGCAGTGGAGCAGCCGGGACAAGAAGCAGGGCCCATACAGGATGTCGGCAACACAGGCAGTAGGCTAACCACCTTGGCACAGCACCTGCCCCTCACCTTTTCTGTCCCCCTCCCCTCTATCCCGCTGAACCTCTGGTGACCACTGTTGACATCTACTAACTCAGCACTTTTAGCTTCCATGTATGAGTGGGAACATCATTTGTTTTTCTGTACCTGGCTTATTTCACAGAACATAATGTCCTCCAGTTTCATTCTGTATTTATTGAGTGCCTGTCATATGTCAGGTACTGCTACACTTACTGGGAGTACGGCAGGCAGAAATTCCTGCCTTCATGAAGCTTCTATGCTACTGTGTTAAAATACAAAAAAAAAAAAATTGTTTTGAAATGCAACATCTGGATGAGTAAATTACTTTGATGTACTCTGCTTCATTTAAGGAAGGAAAAATATCATGAACACTATGTAAACAATAAAAAGGTGAATCATTCCTCCAGCCAGGTTGCAGGGTGGATTTCATAGTGTCCTGAATCTCAGTAATTAACATCAGTTCTGGTTTCAAGGTTGAGGTCACTCCCTTACAGTTTTCTATTTATTCCATTGTTTTGCCCAATACAGGATGTTCCGTATTCATCACAGGCAGCTGCAGCTCCGCCTATCCTCAAAGGAGTTTAAAATTCAGCATGTGGGGAGCCTTTCTGTGGTTGAACACGCTGGCATACATTTCCTTTTTATTCTTTAAGTTCTGAGTTTTTACACTATGAATTTGGTGGTGTCACAGGAACAATCTTTTAACAGAAATTTTAAAAGTGTCTATTTTTATCAGATTTAAGAGGAAGACTCTTATTTCAATATAATCAGTAGCAATAAATCTTAACCTTTCGGCCAAGAGTAACCAAATGTAAGTTGGGAAAATGTCTGAGCCCTGTCACTGAGACGCGGTTCTACCCATGCGGAAGGGACTTCCTCTAGGATTGGCTTTTTGGGGTCAGGACATGCTGCCTTGTTCTTGAGAGTCCAAGGCCTTGCTGCACGTGGACGTGCCTGGGAGTCAGTTGGAATTGCATAAGCTTGTGTCCCAGCGCTGGCTTTCTGAATCAATCTGCATTTTAATAAGACGCCTAGGTGATGTGTTTGCATATCAAAATCTGAGCAACTCAGTCTAAAGCAGGGCAGACTTTGACCAGTGGGAAACCCAGCTACAGGTAGTATTTTTTGTTTATTTTTGTTTTTGAAAGACATGTTTTAAATTTTTTTAATGGTTTAATTAAAGATTGTTTTACTTATTTGAAAGGCAGAATGACAGAGAGGTATCTTCCAACTGCTGGTTCACTCCTCAAAAAGGCACAACAGGCCGAAGCAAGGATCCAGGAACTTTGTCTTGCTCTTCTACATGGGTGGCCTGAGAAACCTGGGCCATCTTCCGCGCTTTCCCAGGTGCATTTACCAGAGAGCTGGATCAGAAGTGGAGCAGCCGGGGCTCAAACTGGCACTCCAGTATGAGATGCTAGAGTTGCAGGCGGTTACCTAACCCACTGTGCCACAATGCCAGCCCCTTTTTTATTTTTTTTTATTTTTATTTTTTTATTTTTTTGACAGAGTTAGTGAGAGAGAGAGAGACAGAGAGAAAGGTCTTCCTTCTATTGGTTCACCCCCAAAATGGCCGCTACGGCTGGTGCACTGCACCTGTCCGAAGCCTGGAGCCAGGTGCTTCCTCCTGGTCTCCCATGCGGGTGCAGGCGCCCAATCACCTGGGCCACCCTGCACTGCCTTCCCGGGCCACAGCAGAGCTGGACTTGAAGAGGAGCAACCAGGACAGAACCGGCGCCCCAACCAGGACTAGAACCCAGAGTGCTGGCGCCGCAGGCAGAGGATTAGCTTAGTGAGCCGCAGCGCCGGCCAGCCCCTTTTAAATTTATTTTTAAACATCCATTTCAGGGCGAGTGGGTTAAGCTACTGCTTACATCACCAGCATCCTGTATCAAAGTGCTGGATCAAGTCCCAACCACTCTGCTTCTGATCCAGCTTCTTGCTTTTGTGCCCAGGAAGCCAGTGGTTGATGATCCAAGTGCTTGGGCTCCTGCCAGCCTTGTGGGAGACCCAGATGGAATTCCTGGATCTTGGCTTCAGTCTGGTCCAGCCCTGGCCGTTGTGGCCATTTGGTGAGTGAACCGGTGGATGGAAGATTTCTCTCTCCCTCTCTCTCTCTGTAACTCTTTATCTTTCAAATAAATCGTTTAGAATAATATGAGATTCTTATTTCAGTGTTTGTAAATAAAGTTTTATTGGACACGTCTTGTCTGTGGCTGCTTTGGCTCAAAATGAATAGGTTAGTAGTGATGACAGAAACTGTATGGTCTAAAACTGTACGGTCACCATCTGGCTCTTGACAGAAAAAATTTACTGGCCTCTGATCTAAAGTATATGCATTCTTCATGGGTTTCAGAGTAGCTTATAGTTGAGGGTCAGCTGGTCATAATAATGTGTTTAATGATCCTTCACTGTATTGAAATTTCATTAATAAAACTAGTATTTAAACATTAGGAATGAAGGATTTTAACCTAATTTTATAAATGAAATACTGATAAACTAAAAAGCTTTTCGTCAGGGATATATGTTTGTTAGTGTTTCTCCCATAGTTTGAGTTTCTCAGGAAATAAAAGCTACAGTTGTATTTCTTAGTATCTTGCTGCGTATGCTCATGTCCTTGAGTAGTCTGAATGAGGCCCCTCCTGCCTGCCTCCTGTGCGCCTGAGCCCCAGGTAATGCTTGCCGACCCTCCAGGTGGAAACCTGCTCGTCCTGGTGGACCAGCACGCCGCGCACGAGCGCATCCGTCTGGAGCAGCTTCTTACTGGTGAGGACCCGCTTGTGACCAGGAAAGATTTGAGCCTCCCCCGCAGATGTAGTGCACCAGGAAGAGTTTCTCCAACTGCGACTGTTTTGAAGAATGATGCATTGTATGTTTAAAAATTTTGAGGCGAGGTCCTTGGTCTGGCCTCTTATAACTGAAAGGATATAGAGTTCACGTTCCTACTTCAAACACGTGAAGCCTCTTTTACACATCAAAGCCTTATTTGCTTCCTAAGGACGGGGCTACTTCATATGACATCGGCACAGAGGTAGCGCCGCACCCTCGGGTACATGAGACCCCCAGCAACTCTGTACATCCACCGTTTTGACTTTCGGATTTAATTTGCTCCGGGTCAGGCGGTGTAATCAAATTGCTGCGCCTCTGAATGGCATAGAAGGGAGTGTGTTGAAGTCTGCCGGGTCCCCAGCCCGCTTGGCTTCTCTCTCCAGGAGCAACAGTGTCACTGCTTGTCTGTGTAACTTTCCAGATTTAATACATGATTTTTAAGTGTTGCTGTTCAGTCTTTTCATCCTGAAGCAGTTTGTTCAAGTGATACAAAATCCCAGGAAACCTCCTGAGGTCAAATAATGAAAACCTTGGATGTCAGAGTTAGGTGAGGCCCCAGGGAGCTACTTCACGGGCAGTGCTGCTGCTGCCATTTTCACTTCTCCTTATAAAGTGAAAGCCCAAGAATTGGGAAGGATGGAATGGAAGCAGTGATAGAAACACTGGCTCGATACAGGCCCTGTGCCGCTTGCAGATGGTACTAACTCTTCAAAACCCGGGAGCCTTTCCTGAAGGAACGGGGAAGCCTCCTTGAGCCGTAGCAGTGTGTGGTGAGCCCGTGTCATTTCCCCATTAATCTGCATTATTCGCCTCTGTTACTGAACCGCAGGAACATCGCATTGCTCATTTCCATGTAAGGTTTAAGGCTTATTTGGAAAATACTGATAAACTGAGTTGACAGGCTGGACATTTACCAGTCTGACTTTAATAATGGAAATTCAAAATCTAAAACTGAACATTGAACACTCTAGCAAACGCTAGAATAATTGTGTCATGCCTGCGCCTCACCGTATTCCATTTTTGTTTGAGTCTAGACTTCCCTGCCTACTCCTAACCCATTCGTCTTCCTTCCGGCAGAATCGTATGAGAAGCAACAACCACAAGGGTCTGGTCGGAAAAAATTGCTGTCTTCCACCATAATTCCTCCACTGGAGATAACGGTGACGGAGGAGCAAAGGAGACTCCTACGGTTAGTTCCACCATGGGGGTGTGACGTTTAAAGTAGAAAGTGCCCACAGTGCTTCCTTGAGGTGTTAGCACAGCTGTTGTTCCACTATTTCAGTGAGGAAAGAGACCACGACAGGTGACCTGACTGGTCCAGGGTCATCACAGTGAGTGCTGGGGCAGGCACTCAAAGGCAGGTCTTTGGACTGCAGAAGCTGTTCTTTGCACTGTGTCCCAGCTGTTGAGTATGGCATAGCTTTCCCTGATAATGTTTTCCAGCAGCTGGCATAGAACTCTTCCCATTTCTTGGAACAGTCAGTATTTATGCTGTGCTCTTTCTGAAAGCAAAGTTACTGCAGTAATTGCTTCCGTTCTCCGTTGTCTCGGTGTGTTCTAGATTCTTAGTTTTCATTACCATACTCCTTTTGGGAAGAAGGTGAGCGCTGCGATGCCAGAGGGGGCGAATCGTGTATTGGGTCACAAGATGGGATGTTTTCCCACTTCTGGGCAGCACTCGTTACTGAAAATGAAAAAGACTCATCTCCCAGTTTATTTCAGTTTGGGAATACACTACTGCCAATAAATCTTCTTCTCTGGGGCATAATTTATATTAGAGACAGATCCATTTATTTACATCCTGTTAATTAGGACCCCTCAGTTCCTGGGGCTGTTAATTACTTCCCCGCTCTAATGCTGATTCAAAACATTCTCAGTCCTTTTCCTTGTGCCAACTCCACTCAAGTGCTGCAAGAAGTTAGCCATTCCTCAGTGACAAATAAAAACCTGGGAACAAGACTTAGAAACAGATTGTTTCTCTCTATGGAAAACAGAAAAAAAAATGAAGGTTAATACAAGGTAATACCCCCTTACCTGCAGCAGATACGTTCAGGGCCCCACTGCACATGGTACAGGAGTGAATCTGTCCAGCATTTTATGCTGTAGTGTCTCCTTTCCCTCACCACTCATGCCCTTTGGGGCGGGCCGTTATTAAATAAAATAAGTTTTCCTTGAACACAGCACTGCAGTAGGCAGTTGATGTGACAACAGAGATGGGTGTGAAGCAACTGAGCAGTGTGGGCGCCCTGAACAATGGGGCGGCTCATGTCCCGGGCAGGACAGAGCAAGACTGCGACGTTGCAGCACGCACAGCAGCACGGCACACAACTTAACACTTAGGAATTGGCTAGTTGTGCAACTTTCCATTTAATATGTTTGCACTGCTGTTGAACCACAGGTAACCGGAACTGAGGAAAACACAGCTGCAGGTCAGGAGGGACCACTGTTATTCAGAAAGGTTTTATCATAGAACCCTGGACACACACGTGTAAGTGAGGAAATCAGCCTTTAAAGCTCATGTTAGCTTTTGAGAAAGAGGTTCTTGGAATCAGTCTCTAGCGTGAATGAAGTAAGCTGTCACATTTCAGCTTCTCTCTCTAGGTGTTACCACAAGAGGCTGGAAGATCTGGGCCTTGAATTTATATTTCCAGACACTAGCGATTCTCTGATCCTGGTGGGAAAAGTACCACTGTGCTTTGTGGAAAGAGAAGCCAATGAACTTCGCAGAGGAAGATCTACTGTGACCAAGAGTATCGTGGAGGTAACACGTAGCTCAAGATGTCAGGGGGAACTGCTGAGTGATAGGAACTTTATACTTTGTTTAGATACTCTTTGTCTTCCTCCTGTATTCAACAAGCATTCATGGTGTTTACTTGCTGAGTGTTAGGCATCAGCTCCAGGTGAGGAAGAGACCATTTAAATAATTACAGTATAGGAACCGGCACTGTGGCACAGCGGTTAACGCCCTGGCCTGAAGCACCAACATTCCATATGGGCACCAGTTCTAGTCCCGGCTGCTCCTTTTCCGATCCAGCTCTCTGCTATGGCCTGGGAAAGCAGTAGAAGATGGCCCAAGTCCTTGGGCCTCTGCACCCATGTGGGAGACCCGGAAGAAGCTCCTGGCTTCGGATCAGTTCAGCTCCAACTGTTGCAGCCACTGGGGAGTGAACCAGCAGATGGAAGGCCTCTCTCTCTGTCTCTACCTCTCTCTGTAACTCTTTCAAATAAGTAAAATAAATCTTTAAAAAAAAAAAAAAGAATCGCAGACTGATTACTGTGCCCAGGGAGGTGTAGATCAAGGAAAAGTGTCACAGAAAAGCTTTTCTTAAGAAAAGTCTCACCGGATGGTGGGAAACTGCCAAGTACAGAGCAGGGAGGAGGGCACTGTAGGCAGAGGAACAGACAGAGCAGACTTGGAGCAGGCCCTTTGTTTACAGGGCAGTGGTGGGACTGGCTGAGGCGAGTGAAGTTGGCAAGGCCAAATCATAAGGGAATTCAGCACAGTCTGCTAAGCAGTTTGCATTTCTTCCTACAGGAAACTCATGGAGAATTTCAAACAGGAGAGCAAGATATATTTTAAACTGTGTTTTTAAAAACAGTTTATTTATTTATTTGAAAGAGTTACAGAGAGAGGGAGAAACAGAGAGATCTTCCATCCACTGATTCATTTCCCAAATGGCCACAGTGACCAGGGCTGAGCTGGGCTGGGCCAGGCTGAAGCCAGGAGCCAGGAGCTTCTTCTGGGTCTCCCACATGGGTGCAGGGGCCCAAAGACTTGGGCCATCTTCCTCTGCTTTCCCAGGCACATTAGGAGGAAGCTGGATCGGAAGTGGAACAGCGGTACTCGTACCGGCACAGGCAGCAGGTTAACCCACTATGCCATAGTGCTGGCCCTGTTAAACTGCATGTTTACGATTTTGATTTACTTGAAAGGTAGAATGATGAGAGAATGAGTCTGTCCTCTGGTTCATTCCCCAAATGGCCACAACAGCTAGGGCTGGCCCAGACCAGAGCCAGGAGCTGGAACTCCAGCTGGCTCTCCCACATGATGGCACAGGTCCGAGTCCTTGAGCCATCACCTGACGCCTCCCAGGGTGCACATTGACAGGGAGGTGGACCATTATCGCAGAGTGCTCGGGACTGTACCAGGCCCTGCAGGGTGGGATGTAGGTGTATCAGCCAGTGCGTAGCCCACGGCACTCAGTACCAGCTCCTAGACTACAGGCTGTATATGATATTTTGGTAAAGGTTTCAAAAACTGGGAGGCAGCATTGAGGTGTTTGAAGGACCAATGTCTTTAATTCTTGACTTTTTTTTTTTTTTTTTAAGATTAATTTATTTATTTGAAAGTCAGAGTTACACAGAGAGAGGAGAGGCAGAGAAACAGGTCTTCCCTTCACTGGCTCACTTACGAACTGGCTGCAACGGCCAGAGCTGCGCTGATCAGGAGCCAGGAGCTTCTTCCGGGTTTCCCACGTGGGTGCAGGGGCCCAAGCACATGGGTCATCCTCTTCTGTTTTCCCAGGCCATAGCAGAGAGCTGGATCGGAAGTGAAGCAGCTGGGACTTGAACCGGTGCCCAGATGGGATGCCACCACAGAGCCAGCCCTCTTTTATTTTTTTTTTACAACAAATACAATTTATTTTCCTTATTGCCTTCCCCCCTTTCCTGATTCTTATAATAGTCTTTCTTATTTACTCTTTTTTTCCGATAATGGTTTAGAAGCTATATAATCTTTCTTCTGTCTTTTAAAATATTAACCTTGAGTTTTAGCATGCGTAGTTAGTAAAGTTTAAAGGTAACTAGTTTCACTGTCCTTTTCCTAAACTATAAAAAAAAAATTTTAATCTCCCATCACTCTCCCATTTCTCTTGTTGTTGTCTAGTATTTTATTTATTTATTTTTAAAGATTTATTTGCAAGGCAGAGTTACAGAGAAAGAGAGGGAGCTTCCATCTGCTAATTCACTCCCCAAATGGCCACAATGGCTGGGGCTGGTCCAGGCTGAAGGCAGAAGCCTGGAACTCTATCGGGTCTCCCACGTGGGTGGCAGGGACCCAAGTGCTTGGGCCTTCCTAGGGGCATTAGCAAGGCGCTGAATTGGAAGTGGAGCAAGTCAGACTTGAACTGATGCCCAGATGGAATGCTGGCATTGCAGGCAGTGGCTTAACCTGCTCTGCCATGCCTCTCGTATTTTAATCCCACTATGTTTTTTAATCCTTCAGTAGTCATTAATAGTATAATCAGTGTTTATTTAGATTAACTAAAATGTTTACCAGAGTCTTTGTTCATGGCTGCCTGTTGCGTCCTGCTTATTCCTTGTGTGCTGTTTTCTTTTTTTACAAAAGTAAATCTTTTTAAAGCCCACGAATGATAAGCTGCCTTTAAAAATACCTTTATTGCGCCTTCACATTTGCTGCATTGTCTAGCTAAAAATAGAATTCCACATTGCCAATTACGCCCAACATTTTGAAAATATTCATCTACTTCTCACAATGAACTTTGGTTCTTTGTCAATCTAATTATTGTTACTTTGTGGGTAATCCGATTGTTTTTGCCCTCTGGGTACTTTTAGTCTTAAGATTTTCTCTTTGACCTTGATGTTATGCAATTTCCTCATGATGTGTCTTCGTGTGGATTTATTTTTATTTCCTTCTTTAGAGTCCTCACTCTTCCACTTGGAAAGTGTATAATCATTATCACTTCAAACAGTGCTGCTTGCCCATTCTCTCTCTTGTCTCCTGGAATCCTGTAAGATGTTTATTGGATTTTCTTTCTGTTCTCCCTGTCTCAAACTTTTTTCCTATTTTCCATTATTCTATCATTCTGTGATACATTCTGGGAAATTTCCTTGCTTATCTTCCAGTGAATTAAAGGGCTGTCTTCCTCTGCTGTTTAAAAATATATTTAACTTATCCACTGAATCTTTTATTTCAGTGACCACATTTTTTATTTCTGGAAGTCTTATTTGGTTCTTTTTCAAATCTGCCTGTTCTTTTCTCACTGGTGACCTTTGTTTATTATGCTTCCTGTTCCTTTATCTGTAGTTCTCTATTTGAAGCACAGGCACATCCATTTTGTCTGCCATTTCTCTAGGAATCTGAATTATCTTAGTAATATCTAAAAGAAAAACTAGACGATAGATTTAGTAGATAAATTGGGGGATAAACTGATATGGGAAAAATTTGTGGCAGGGAGAACCGTTGAGAGGCTGTTGCCCTGGTTGAGATAACGGAGGATGAGGGTGTGACTCAGTCGACAGTAGTGGGGCTGGAGAAGAGGGGCAGCTTTGAGACACAGTGTAGGAGGTCAGGTCTGAAGGACCTGGGCCCGGTGCTGTAGTGGTCTGTATAGTGCCCATCCCATGTGGGCACCAGTTCATGTCCCAGATGCCCCTCTTCTGATCCAGCTCTCTGCTGTGGCCTGGGAAAGCAGTGGAAGATGACCCAAGTCCTTGGACCCCTGCATTGCGTGGGAGACCAGGAAGAAGCTCCTGGCTTCAGATGGGCCCAGCTCCAGCTATTCCAGCCATTTGGGGAGTGAATGATCATTCCAGCAGATGGAAGACTTTCTCTCTGTCTCTCCTTCTGTCTGTAACTCTGCCTCTCAAATAAATAAATAAATAAAATATTTTAAAAAAATATTTTTTAATTTAAAAAGTAAAGAAAATGAGGGAAGAACGATGTTACTCTGATTCTAGGGGCTCTAGCCTAGGCAGCTTAGAAGAATGGTGGTGCCATTGACAGAGAAAGGAAGCAGGAGGAGGCGCACGTCCAGCTTGGGAGTGGGGTCAGGAGTCCGGCCTCAGGAGCGTTGCATGCCTGCAGGTGGGGATGTCCGGTGGGTCAGTAGATGTGGAGAAAGATCCGGGCTATATGCCTCTGTTGGACAGTTAGGATGTGTGTTTTCATGTATCACAAGGCGCAGAAGGGCCTAGAGGAAGTGATTGTTCAGGGAGACTACGAAGAGTGAAGAAGCAAGAGTGCAAGGCATAGAGCCCGCAGGATGCCAGCGTCGGGCTGTGTGTGTTTTGGAAGAGGTCTGGAAAGCGACTGCTAAAAAGAAGAAACTGCAAGCAAGATTGGAAACATTTGGTCAGGAGAAGCCGCGTTGGCAAAACCAACGGGGGTTTTAATCAAGAAGGGAGTGGTCAACAGTGGCCTAAAGTAAAGCTGAGAGGTGGGTAGTGGCACTGAGGACACTGGCGCCCTGGAGAAGTCACTGCCTGGGGATGAGGTGAAGCAGCAGTGGGTGGGAAGCGAGTGCAGAGAGAGGGAAGGAGGCTGAATCAGCCGCTCAGGAATGTGGCTCCATGAAGAGAGGGTGCGAACCGGAGGTCAGGGTGGCTGGGGAGTGTGCGGCAGGACACCAGGCGGAGGGAGGACTCTTGTTTAGGACGGCAGAGACACGAGCATGTCTGTAGGCCGAGGGCGGTCAGCAGTGCCAGCTTTTCAGTTACCCTGGGCCTGCCCCTTCCAGAAAGCGCCTTTTGATCGGAAGCCTTTGGGTTGCTCTCAGCAGAGCTCTGTTCTCTATGTCTCCTGCTCCAAATTGTCTTAAGTCCAAAAGATAGAATCTGTTAGGATCTTCTATTGCAATTCAATCCCTAAATATTTAACCAGAAAATTATAATGAAAACTTCTCCTGAAGTGACTTCAAAGACTACTGTTAAGCAGTTTACTTCAAATTGAAACAAAGCTTATGTTCTCAGAAAATCTTGATTATGTTAAGTCAGGCTGATCAGGAGAGATTTTGTTGATTCTAAAGAAGTTGGACTGCTAAAATCCAAAAGTTGTACTTTCGAAATTTGTATTTATTAAATAAAAGTTTTCTATAAAAAAGAAAAAACCCCACTATAATCCAAAAATTGTACTTTCTTTCTCCTTTTTTTAAGATTTATTTATTTACTTGAAAGTCAGAGTTACACAGAGAGAGAGGGAGAGGCAGAGAGAGAGAGAGAGAGAATGAGAGAGAGAGAGAAGGGTCTTCCATCTGCTGGTTCACTCCCCAGTTGGCTGCAACAGCCAGACCTGTGCTGATCCGAAGCCAGGAGCTTCCTCTGGGTCTCCCACGTGGGTGCAGGGGCCAAAGGACTTGAGCCATCTTCTGCTGCTTTCCCAGGCCATAGGAGAGGGCCGGATTGTAAGTGGAGCATCCAGGACTCAAACTGGCACCCATATGGGATGCCGGCACTGCAGGCGGCGGCTTTACCCACTAAGCCGCAGCACCAGCCCCAAAGTTGTACTCTCGAAATTTATATTTATAAAATAAAAGTTTTCTATAAAAAAAAGTTGGAACAGTTTTGGTGTTTTGAGGTAGCTACTTGAAGCCTGGCAGTTGAAAGATGGTTAATACATGGTTCCATAAAATTCTGTTTTCTAGCCTGCCTCATGGGCCTTTTAAATATTGCTTAAACTATCCAGTGTTGATTAAACCACTGAAATATGAAGTGAACCGAGAAGGAGACCCATCTCCTTCCCCACACTGGACTTCATGGGTGCAAATATACAAGCATGGGATAAGAGCAAAGAAGCTAGGTGTGCTGTCCCTGCGCTGTGAGCGTTTGTCAGAGGGCCAGGCGCTATGAGCCGCTCTGCTCACGTTCACTTCTCACATGTTATCCAGCCTCGAAAGTGTGTGTGATGCAGTGTCTACCACCTCACTCTCGGTAACAAGCCTGGCAGACCCGAGTGTGTATGAGGGGGGAGGGACTGCTCCAAGTCTGGTTTAAAAAGAAAATGTACACTGCTGTCATCTTGGGAAGCTATTTTATTTGTGGTCATTCCCAGGAGTGAGGAAATCCTGTGAATTTTTTTCTTATGAAGAAATCATTAAATGTACCATATCTCAAAACACCTTTTTTTTTTTTTTTGCTTCCAGAAGTTAAACAAATTAGTAGTATGAAATAGTATCTGCTGTAAACTTCTTCAGAGTTCTTTTACAAATATTACTACCCAGGGGCTGGTACTGTGGCGCAGCAGGTTAACGCCCTGGTCTGAAGTGCCAGCATCCCATATGGGTGCTGGTTCGAGTCTGGCTGCTCCACTTCCCATCCAGCTCTCTGCTGTGGCCTGGGAAAGCAGTAGAAGATGGTCCAAGTCCTTGGGTCGCTGTACCCAAGTGGGAGACCTGGAAGAAGCTCCTGGCTCCTGGCTTCAGATCAGTGCAGCTCCAGCTGTTGCGGCCATCTGGGGAGTAAACCAGCGGATGGAAGACTTTCTCTCTCTGCCCCTCTTCTGTGTAACTCTGACTTTCAGATTAATAAATAAATCTTTAAAAAAGATACTACCGATAGTGCTATAACTATTTTTTTCTAAAGATTTTTATTTGAAGTGCAGAGTTACAGAGAGGCAGAGATAGAGAGAGAGAGGTCTTCCATCCACTGGTTCACTCTCCAAATGGCCACAATGGCCAGAGCTACACTGATCCAAAGCCAGGAGCCAGGAGCTTCTTCTGGGTCTCCCACGTGGGTGCAGGGGCCCAAGCACTTGGGCCATCTTCTACTGCTTTCCCAGGCCATAGCAGAGAGCTGGATTCAAAGTGGAGCAGCCGGGTCTCGAACCGGTGCTTACATGGGATGTAGGCACCGCAGGCAGCAGCTTTACCTGCGAAGTCACAGCGCCGGCCCCAAGGGCTATAATATTGAAAGGGCTACCCCAGGGACAGATCTACAGGGGAGGAGAAACTTCTCAACAAAATGTCTCCGAAAATAAGTTTTTGACTCAAAGGAAATTGTCCCCAAAAGCTGGTGGGCTTATGTTTATGATAATTACACAAGTATGTTTGGGAGTACACAGTTGTGTTATGACTTTTGTGTATTTATTCCCAGTTTATGTGTAATATTACACTGGTTTGGCTTAGATTATAAACACAGATAGACAGCCTCTTGGTGAGAAACGTTCCTCATGTGTTGAGTCAGCGGAATCATGAAGGCCCCTGTCCCGGTTATGTAGCCTCCTGAGCTGCTTCACTGTCTCAGGAGGGAGTCCCAGTAACTAACTGTATTCTGCATCCAGGGAGCGGTCTACTCAGTCCACCTGGTAGTCCCTATCCAAAGTACCTAACACCACATGCATTTCCACCTCAGTGCTGTATTGCTGGAACCCTCTCCTTCGGGAAGCATATTTTAAAGATGAAAACGGGGGGGCCAGCATTGTGGGTTAAGCCTGCAGCTGCAGTGCCAACATGCCATATCGGAATACCAGTTCCAAGTCCCAGCTGCTCCACTTCTGGTCCAGCTTCCTACTGATGTGCCTGGGAAGGCAGCAGAATATGGCCCAAGTGCCTGGGAAGGCAGCAGAATATGGCCCAAGTGCCTGGGGTCAGGGACTTGCCACCCATGTGGGAGACCCAGGGGGAGTTCCTGGCTCCTGGCTGTGGTCATTTGGGAAGTGAACAGCAGAGATTCTCTCTCTCTCTCTCTCTCTCTCTCCCTTCTCTTTCTCTGTCACTCTGCCTTTCAGATAAATAAATAAACAAACAAAGCTTTAAAGAAGAGTAGAATATGTTATAAATTACCAAAGGACAAATAGAATATAAATGCCTGTTTTCCTTTTTGCTTGTAGGAATTCCTTCGAGAACAAGTAGAGGTAAGCTTTCCTCTTACTTGGGGCTTCGTGCAGAGGGACACACGTAACAGGCTCCATTGTTCCTTTTCCTGTTAATGTCTTTCTGCATCAGCTGCTCCAGACCACTGGAAGCATCCAGGGGACGCTGCCGCTGACGGTACAGAAGGTGCTGGCCTCCCAGGCCTGCCATGGTGAGACCCTCAACACGCTGGCCATGGACTGCTCTGCGCCATGAGCACAGGCGGGAGCAGTGGGTGTGGGAGGAGCAGAAGGGACGTCGACGGCTTACCTCATGGAAAGTACAGTTTAGACCAAGAAACCGAATACACATGTACATGAAGCCTGAAAAAATCACTTCTACAAAGCAAAATACCAGCACACACATTTGACTATAAATGGATTTATAGCTTGGATCGGGGTTCACCTGCAGAAGCCTGTGCACGCACCCAGAGACAGAGACAAACTAGTTATTGGGGAGCAGCAAAGAGTCAGGAAGTTTGGCTGGTAAGAAAGAGCAGGAGCCTGGAAGGCCGCAGGGGAACATTTAGATGTGATAGAGAAGGCTTTGGAAGCAGAGGGCTCCAGAGCAGGGTGCTGTGATAAAACATAGAAAGCAGATCTGGAGGAATTCACTTTAGGGATCATGACAGCTACAGAACCTGTCGCATCTGTCACAGGGCCACGGTGGGGTCTCCAGTCCGTGACAGTCCTGCCTCTTAGCCCCTCCACTGTTCTCTCCTCGTTCTCAGTCTTCCCCTGCGTGGTAACCACGGTCCATCCTAAGTCTGTCTCCTACAAACATCCTAAAATCCCTGTCTTTTATTCCACCTTTGTCTGTCTCCACCGGCACCTCCCTCACCCTTGCCACTGATGGCCCCTTATTCAGTTCCCTATATCCAATCTGGCTTCCTTCCGCACCCAGAGGAATCTTTTTGAAGCATCCCTCTGAGTCTGTTGTTCTAATTTAAATGTGTCAACCACCACCCGTTGGTTCGTCATGGCCTCCAGGGCCCCTTCCTGCCTCTCCAGTGTCACCTCACACCATGCTCCAGCTTGCACTCGACATAGTCCTTTGGTCTTTTTTTTTTTTTTAATATTTATTTATTTGAAAGTCATGGTTACACAGAGAGAGAAGGAAAGGCAGAGAGAGAGAGAAGCCTTCCATCCGATGGCTCACTCTGCAACCGGCCACAACGGCCGGAGCTGTGCTGATCTGAAGGCAGGAGCCTCCTCCAGGTCTCCCACGTGGCTGCAGGAGCCCAAGGACCTGGGCCATCTTCCGCTGCTCGCCAGGCCACAGCAGAGAGCCGGATCGGAAGTGGAGTAGCCGGGACTCAAAGCGGCGCCCATATGGGATGCCAGCACTGCAGACCGGGCCTTTAACTGTGTCCAGGCCACGTGTCTGCCCCTCCTTTGGTCTTATTCTTGCTGTGTGTTAAACCCTGCAAGTCTCAGGGCCTCTTCACTTGCTTTCCCTCTGCCTTGAAGAGCCTTTCTTCTCCTTCTTGAATTAGCTGCATCTTTCTTAGCCTAAGGACTTAGATTAAATGCCGTTTTACCAAGAAAGCCTTCCCTGACCTTGTAAGTTGGGTTTGGTCCTATAATTTATAATACTTACATGTGTTATTGAAACTATCATGTAATTATTTAATGTTTGTCACCTGTTAGACTGAATGCTCCATGAGAATGGAAATTCTCTGTCTTGTTCACTGCCTGCAAAGCTCCTAATGCAGAGTTAGTGTTTAATAAGTATTTGCTGTTAGAGCAAAATCATGTATGCGTAAAGGCAGGTTCAAGCAATGTGAGAGTATAGATTAGGAAGAGTATTTTGGAAATTAGAAAAAAGAAGTAAATAAAATTAATGTTGTAGGGACCAGTGTCATGGTGCGTGCCAGCATCCCATCTCGGAGTGCCAGTCCAATTCCCGGCTGCTCTGGTCCCATCCAGCTCCCTGTTAATGCACCTGGGAAAACAGTGGAAGATGGCCCAAGTTATTGGGCTCCGTCACCCACGTGGGAGACAGGGTGGAGTTCTTGGTTCCTGGCTTCAGCCTGGATCAACTCTGGCTGTTGTGGTCATTGGGAAGTGAACCAGCAGATGGAAGATCTCTTTCTCTTCCTCCTTCTCTTTTGCTCTATAACTCTGCTTTTCAAATAAATAAAATAAATCTTTTTAAAAAATGACTGTTGTAAGGACACAGTCAGAGATTGCTATTAGATAATCCACAGACCATAACCTCAACTTCACAAACCCATCAGGAATTGGCAAAATACTGCTCTTACCTTTTTTAGAAAAAATCTGAAAGCAAGATCCTAACAAGTTAAGGAATGTCTCCTACAGAGATTAGAAAGAGAGAGCCCCAGGGGCGGCGCTGTGGCATAGCAAATAAAGCCACCGCCGCAGTGCCGGCATCCCACGTGGGCTCCAGTTCAAGTCCCAGCTGCTCTACTTCCAATCCAGCTCTCTGCTACAGCCTGGGAAAGCAGTGGAGGATGACCCAAGTGCTCAGGCCCCTGCACCTACGTGGGAGACCCGAAAAAGCTCCTGGCTCCTGGCTTCAGATCCCCCCAGCTCTGGCCATTGCAGCCATTTGAAGAGTGAACCAGTGGTTCTCTCTCTCTCCCTCTCCCTCTTCCTCTCCCTCTCTCTGCTTCTCTGTAACTCTGCCTTTCAAATAAATAAATAAATCTTTAAGAAAAAAAAAAAAAGCCCAAAAGGAAAAGCTGAGAGACTGAAGGTCAGTTCCAAAGCCTTTGTTACACGCGTGGCCACAAGCACCGACTTCGGGCAGAGTTAAAGCAGCATTACAGGAGCTTAGGAAACGTTCCCTTCTCCAGATGCTTGGCTCTGCCCCAGGGTCAGCACCGGGCTCCCACCACATGCACCATAGCCTGTTTCTCTCTCTGACTCAGGGGCCATTAAGTTTAATGATGGACTGAGCCTAGAGGAGAGTCGTCGCCTGATTGAAGCCTTGTCCTGCTGCCAGCTGCCATTCCAGTGTGCTCATGGGAGACCTTCTATGCTGCCATTAGCCGACATGGACCACTTGGAGCAAGAAAAGCAGGTACACTCCTAACTGCCAAGACCAAGGGCGGCAAGGTTTGTCTGCTCTTTACTTTTGCAGCCCCCGCGGTCCCCGTGTGATCTGTCTTAATCCTTTCCAAACTCTGAGTCTTTAAATGTATGCATCATAAGTTTCATTTAAAGCCCCACCCACTTCATCTTCCAGCTCAGATTCCACATGGAGCTTAGACTGCACTGCGAGATCATCCACATGATGGTTTTGTGGGTTCCAGCTGAACACACGTACAGACGTGTGCATCCTGAACATGTGTTGCCTGCTGGCTCTAGGTTTCGTAAGATGCAGAGGTTTTTCCTGGAGCCAGCTCATAGAAACACAGCAGATTGGCTGTTGGCAAAATATATTCTTGCGAGCACAAATGGTGACCCTTGGCTGCAGCCAGCCATCTCCAAGGAGCCTAGGGTTGTGGTTTGAGGACCGGCAGGCAGGAAACCAAGCTTTGGAGACCTCCGGGTTGCACTTTGGCCCTGATTACGCAGCAGCCCAGTGATGTGGATAATGCAATAAAGGCGCGGAGTGGTTTCGATTAAGGACCTTCTCTGTCCTTGTTACAATTTTAAATGAAACAGAACATGAAAGCACAATAGTAATGTCCATGCTGCTGACTTCCAAAATGTTCTGTGCTTATCTTTCTTGCTAAGGGCTACAACATCTTTTCTTGCTTTGAGTTTTCAGCTTCTAAAGCTTTCTGACTCACCCAGGTGATGTTACTCTATTAAAAACTCTGGATTCCCATGATAAGGAAAAGAAATGGGCAAAAGCTTTGCCCCCGTGCTGCAGAGATGAGGATCTAGGTTGCAGTCCTGCTAATCCCAAGGAAGTCTGTCGTCTTTCCTTAATCCAGAAATTAGAAATCTACGTAGATGTAAATAGCCATGCTCTGAAACGCACTTATGCTGCCTGGATTTTCCTATTGCTAACTGGAGTGGTTCTCTTTCTTCCCATAGAAGAAACCCAATCTTGCTAAACTTCGCAAAATGGCCCAGGCATGGCGTCTCTTTGGGAAAGCAGAAGGTTGCAATCCAAGGCAGAATCTGCAGCAGTCGGTAACTCCTTGTGAGCCACCCTGAGTACAGAATTACTGATGAGTAAGAGACAGGACAGCCTAAGGATCTGTGTGTCTCTGGACTGGAGCAGGAGCAGCGGGTAGCAGCAGCACATTTTGCACGCCAGCCCAGCGCATCTGAGCAGCTGCAAGGCCGCGGGGCTCTCACGTCTGTCCTCCTCTTGCTGAGTAGCTGGATGAAATTCAAGCCCAAAGACAGCTCATTCATCTGCATCTGTGGACACAGGAGATTACCACATAATAGTGACTGTTTGTAACTTGATTCTTGATAAATTTTAATGATTAATTGTTTGGTTGGTTTATGTTGGAGGGATGTGGTTTTTGTTTTTTTTCCAATTTGCAATTTTTTTCCAATTTGCAAATTTGCATGCATGTAATTGAGCTGAGGCTAAACTCCAAGACCAGTCTGTCTTTCTAGACTGCTCTAGATTCTCCCACCGGTCCCTCTTTCGCCTTCATTCTTCACTTTCCTCTGCTGCTGCTTTGTGTTCTAAATCACAGACTTTAAGAATTTCTCTACTCTCAATAAAAACATTCCCTGAAGTCTTCTATCAGTTAAATTATTTTAGGGGTAAAACTACTGATACAGAAGAGACAGGGACAAGGACAGAATAGAGAAAATTTAAAGTTCTCTTCCTCATTTTTGGTTTGTTTTATTGCTTTTTTTTTTTTAAAGACTTATTTATTTATTTGAAAAGCAAAGTTTTAGAGAGGTCTTCCATTGGCTGGTTCACTCCCCAAATGGCTGCAATAGCCGAAGCTGGCCAATCTGAAGCCGGGAGCCAGGAGCTTCTTCTGAGTCTCCCACTTGTGGGCAAGGACCCAAGCACTTGGGCCATCTTTTACTGCTTTCCCAGGCCATTAGCAGGGAGCTAGATCGGAAGTGGAGCAGCTGGGACTCAAACCAGCGCCCATATGTGATACCAGCACCACAGTCAGGGGCTTAACCCATTACACCACTGCATTGGCCCCATTTATTGCCTCTTTAAAAACAGAGACTGATGTTCATATCCCAAACCAGTGAAATGGTGAAAATACCAAGCACTTATTTTTTAAAATATGATTTTTTTTTTGTATTTTACAATGTGTTTATTTATGGGAAAGCAATTGTCATATCCAGGTGTAACATTTATTCTTTCAACCTAATCAGAAATGTTCCACGCTTTCTCTTCTCAGGAGACAGGATTATTTTGGCGTCTTTTAAACTGTACCGTGGTTTTAGTACATTATGTGTATCTAACAGCCTTCTGGGTTCACTTGGGACCAGAAGTCACCCTTCTGCAAGTGCTTGTTCCACCGCCCTGAGTCTGATTCTCCCCTCCCTTTTCAGGACGTGATTTGTGGTTAATAGAACTCAGTAGACTACAGTCATGTAGACGGGGAGAAAGGGCGGACAGCTGGGATGTGACTGCACCGGGGTGCTATACAACGAGGAAGGTGTTGCGATGAGAATTCTTCCTTCTGTATTTCCTGACCAACCTGCTTAATTCGGCTTTTATATCAGTAGAATGATTTTCTCATTTTTTAGTACAGGAAACAAATTTGGAAGGAAGTTTGTCTGCCAGCAGGCCTGGAGTGGATCTTAGCAGTGAGGGTACTGCATTGATTAGCGTGTGCTCAGAGGAGACTCAGGGAGGAGCGCCCGTTTCCAGGGGACCCTGACTGTGTGCGTGGCTGGAACCCTAGGAACAGACACCGCTGTCTGAGAACAGCTGTCATTCTTCTGCATGCAGGGCCGCGGGCTTTCCGACTGGGAGCGTGACCTTAGGAAGGAGGGTCTTTTCAGGGGATTTGCAAGGCTGCTGGGAGCCGTCTCCAGGCCAGTGGGTGGCCTGGCCGCGAGCCTGTGCCTCATTCTGCAGAGCCGGCACAGAGGCCAGCTGTCCCAGGACTTTGAAAAACTTTTTAGGTCAAATTTACAGAATTTAAAAACATCTAGCAATATCTCTTACAGGATGAGGGGGTGCAGTTTCAAAGGGTTTTGCGATATACATAATCCCCAGCTACTATTTTCTTGAGAGAACCAAAGGATTAGAAAAAGTTCTGCATAAATTATGTAGCCAGCCTTTCTGGCTAGCCCGACTCAAGCAAAACAAGTGAGTTACCCTGTTTTAATAATTTATAAACTAAGTAACATGCATCAGCATAAAAACAAGCTATTATCCAATAGAGGACTTTTACCACGTAGTAGGGTTTCATCCTCTTTTGTTTTGAACTGCTGTAAGAACAAAGATGTGTTTAATTTTCTAAAACATGTAAGATACTTTAAGGTTTTCTGTTTTTTGATTTTTGATGTTTCTATTGTTTATTTGAAAAGTGGAGTTAGAGACAGAGGAAGACAGAGAGAGATCTTCCATCTGCTGGTTCACTCCCAAAATGGTAACAACAACCAGAGCTGGGCCAGGCTGAAGCCGGGAGCCAGGCACTTCATCTGGGTCTCCCACACGGGTGCAGGGGCCCAAGGATTTAGGCCACCTGATGCTGCTTTCCCGGCACAGGAGCCGAGAGCTGGATCAGAGCAGAGCAGCCGGGACTCGAACCAGTGCCCATATGGGATGCCGGCTTTGCAGGCGGTAGCTTAACCCACTACACCACAGTGCCAGCTCTGTTTTTAGGTTTACAAAATGATTCCTCACAGACCTTCTCTTACTGAATTTCTGGCTTTTTTTTTTTTTTTTTTTAAGATTTATTTATTGCAAGATTTACAGAGATCTACTGGCTCCTGGCTACAATAGCCAGGACTGGGACAGGCCAAAGCCAGGAGCCTCATCCATGTCTCCCACGTCGGTGACAGGCCACAGCGCCGGCCCCTGTGATGTATTTAGTAGGATTTCATTAGTTTATGAATTTACTGATTCCACTTTATTAGATTCTGGTTGGTAGAGACCTTAGTAACTTCAGAGTGGAACCTGAGGGGTGAGATGTGAAGTGCAGCCACTCTCAGCATCCGCTTTTCAGTAACTTTGATCAGAATTCTGTTAATAGAGCGCAGGTGGCTGTCTGTGCCTTCAAGAGGCTTAGCTTTAGTCAGGGAGAGAAGGAAACTGATGCTAGGATATGGCAGCTTCCTCTCAGAGTCACAGCTGGCTCTCTGTCACAGAATGGGAGGAGGTTAGCATTCTTCCATCAGAGTGAAGAACGTGGGGGCCGACACCGTGGCGGAGTAAGTTAGGCCTCCGCCTGTGGCGCTGGAATCCCACGTGGGTGCTGGCTCGAGTCCTGGCTGCTCCACTTCTGATCCAGCTCCCTGCTATGGCCTAGGAATGCTGCAGTAGAAGGTGGCCCAAGTCTTTGGGCCCTTGCACCCATGTGGAAAACTTGGAAGAAGCTCCTGGTTTTGGATCGGCGCAGCTCCAGCCATTGCAGCCATTTGAGGAGTGAACCAGCGGTTGGAAGACCTCTCTGTCTCTGTCTCTGCCTCTACCTCTCTGGAACTCTACCTTTTAAATAAATAAATAAATAAATCTTAAAAAAAAAAAAAAAAACATATCATTTTAAAAAATAGTTTATCATTCCTCAACATTGTATTACCTCTTTTACGTGTAAATTATGAATTTCAGATATCAAGTCACCACTAAGTAGCAGTAGCTTCCTTGCACTCTAGGTAAGTTTTTTTTTTTTTTTTTTTCCAAGATTTATTTATTTGTTCAAAAGGCAGAGTTACAGCACAGAGGCAGAAAGAGAGAGAGAGGTCTTCCACCTGCTGGTTCACTTGCCAAATGGCCACAATGGCCAGAGCTAAGCCGATCTGAAGTCAGGAGCCAGGAGCTTCTTCCAGATCTCCCATGTGGGTGCAGGGGCCCAAGGACTTGGGCCATCTTCTGCTGCTTTCCCAGGCCATAGCAGAGAGCTGGATCGGATGTGGAGCAGTCAGGACTCGAACCGGCACTCACATGGGATGCTGGCACTGGAGGCAGTGGCTTTACCCATTATGCCACACCACCGACTGCGAGCTGGTCTGAATTCTACATGTCACTTGCCTGGGAAACCACTGCAGAAGGGAGCCCTCCTTGCAGCGCAGAATTCAATGCAAACACCAGGCCATCCCTGTCTCAAGGGCAGGTTTGGCTCACAGGCCGCCCTTCATTGTGTGAGCCATGTGAAGAGACTGGGTTGGACTATAGCTCGTTATTAATAGTAATTGCTTAGCCATTGCGCAATATCCTGGAACAGCTGTTTAGTGAATGAAAGAATAATTCAAAGTGGGCCAGATATAAAACACTTCCAAACCACATTTCAAAATAGCTGTTCTGTGTCAGGTTAGGTGTGCGTCTGCAGAGGGAGTTTTTGCGAGGACGGGTGGATGGCAGTGGCCGCTATGATAATCACATCACCATCTGGTGCCATCTTCATGGCCAAGCAGTTCTGATGTGCTGAGTTCCACGCACGTAGTCTTGTAGTCACGTAATGGAAGTGTGCGACCGGCAGCCTGCGTTGCCGTCGCCCGGGGACTATGCCGCAGACTGCTCTGAGAAGTGCTTCCACAGCACATCTGTGAAACTCACGATCCTACGGTCCCAGCGTCTTTCTCTGAGGTATCACTTTACAACTTCAGTTTTTATTGCTAGAGTATTTTTTCAAAGACTTCTTCTCAGGCTAAATTAGGAATTTCTGTTCCTTATTTGAGTTCCAAGAATTATGCCTTTCCTGCCCTCCGCCCAAATTGGAAGATAGAAGCTGTGGGAAAAAGTGTCTTTACAAACTGCATTATCTGACTTGGTTTATTTAGCATATTCAGAAAGATGTTCACATCCAAGGAGTCCTAGTGCTACTAATGCTCCCCAAGCCAGGAGAGTTTCCCCCCAATGTCTGGGCCCTGCCTGCAGGAGGGCACCAAGGCTGAGAGTGGGTGTGGGCTCCACGGTTCCCCCGCCCTGTTCAGGTGCTCTGTCCGCTACTCACCCTTCCTGAGAGAGAGAGGGAGGTGAGACGGCACGGGCTTTGCTTGATTTGGACGCACATGCCGGTGGTCCTTCTGCTCCGGGCCCCGAAGAGATGACCACGGTGAAGCAGAGCCACCCCCTTCCCCCTCAGCTCTGCCTGGGAAGGATGTTGGTGCTAATTTTAGGCCGAGACCAAGATGCACGGAGGACAAGTATCATAAAGCATTTTTGGAGCTAGGAACAGATTTCAGTTCCTTGACTCACTGCTGCTCTCACTCCAAACCACACAATTGTACCCAAGTGAACTGCTGTTAGAATTGGTGCCCTCGGAGGAGACAATTGCTTGTAATTGGTAGCTGTAAGCCACTTCACTGGGAAAGCGTGGGGTCTTAGAGGCTTCGAGAAATAACTGACAGACCGAGGCCAGAGTGAGTCAGGCTCTGCTGAGTCATAGGTTTGGGTCAGTGTCATGGCTGACCTCTCTAATCTTGCTTTTTTCCTTCCTAGGGAAGTCAGAGGCCTAAGCAAAGATCGATGTCACACAGGCATCAAGGAGTAGGGCCTTTCCCTCACAACCTGCCACTGGCCAGTGTTCCCAAAGTGTGCTCAGGGACCTGTTAAAGGTAGGTTCCCAGGGGTCTCCGTCTCCCCCACAGACACGGCTACAGGGGGCAGCAGGCCTGCTCCCTGACCGTGACAGGTCATCCAGACCACCTGGGGAGACTTCTTAGTTGACAACTGTGAATCACTAAAGTAGGACACTTGAGGATGCAAACAGGCAGGTGTCTGATGTGGCAGTCAAAATGCCGCCTGGGAAGCCCACATCCCCTAGCAGAGAGCCTGGGTTCGAGCCTCAGCTCCCCTCCCAGTGCCACCGTTCTGTTACTGCGCAGCCAGGAGGCAGCTGATGATGATGGTTCCGGCAGTTCCGTCCCTGCCACCCACGTGCAGGACCTGGATTCAGTCTCAGATCCTGGGTTTGGCCTGGCCCAGCCTTGATGGGTATTTGGGAAGTGATCCAGCAACTGGGAATTCGCTCTCAAATAAATAGAGTGGAAACAATATATAAGCATATTAAAATCAGATGTCTCCCTGCTTGCTACTGTTTGGTGTTATTCTTCCAAACTTTTCCCCTGTGCCACATACATGTAATTTTGTTGTTTTAATGATAGAACGGTCATATGCACTTTGCAGCTTGGGTTGTTCCCCCCCACCACTTCTTTTTAACCGACAGTATAAAATGGACTTCTTGGAACATGCATCTGGCCTAGTGGTTAGAATGCTTGCATCCAGTATGAGAGCACCTGTGTTCAAGTCCTGGATTTTCTCCCAACTCCTAGTGAGTACAGTGGGAGACAGCAGGGCTGATTCAAGTGGCTGGGTCTCCGCCACCCCATGGGAGACCTGGGCTAAGTTCCCCGTTCCCAGCTTCAGCCAGGGTCCACCCCAGCCATTGCGGTTCTTTGGGAAGTTAACCAGTAGATGGGAGCTCTGTCTCGGAAATAATAAAAACAAGAATAAAATCAGTGGAAGACTTTCTCATGAAGCCAGCCCTGTTAGGAGCGACAGCCCAGGGGCCTGCCCGGGTTAGGCAGACGGCAGAAACGAGTTAAATGGCTCCGCTGGGAAGTGGGTTTTCCACGAAATGAGATCAGACGCTACCTACCACTGCCATCGGGGAACGTGAGCCCAGTTACCAAACCCGAGTTCTTAAGAAAAGCAAGAAGTCTGAATTTTTCAAATGTGCAATCTCCAGATTTTTAAATATCGGTAACAAATTCAAATTAAACGCTGGGCAAACCAGCCAAAAAGTCTTCAGTCAGAACACTGCACTGCTGGCACCCTCTGAGCCCTCTCCCGCAGCCTACACATAATGTTCCCAGAGTAAATGCCACTTATTTACTGACCTCTCTCCTGCGACACTCTGGCCGTGACACTGCAGGTGCCTCTCTGCGCATTGTTTGTGTGCCTGCACCAGTAATTCTACAGCGTAGCTTCTGAACTGGCCCAGAGCGTTGGACCCGCTTGTGGTCCTAAAACAAGACATGAGGCCGGCGCCGCGGCTCACTAGGCTAATCCTCCGCCTTGCGGCACCGGCACACCGGGTTCTAGTCCCGGTCGGGGAGCCGGATTCTGTCCCGGTTGCCCCTCTTCCAGGCCAGCTCTCTGCTGTGGCCAGGGAGTGCAGTGGAGGATGGCCCAAGTGCTTGGGCCCTGCACCCCATGGGAGACCAGGATAAGTACCTGGCTCCTGCCATTGCATCAGTGCGGTGCACCAGCCGCGGCGGCCATTGGAGGGTGAACCAACGGCAAAGGAAGACCTTTCTCTCTGTCTCTCTCTCTCACTGTCCACTCTGCCTGTCAAAAAAAAAAAAAAAAAAAAAAAAAAAAGACATGAGAGCCCTCTTCCAGGACGCTCTAACCACTCCCCGCAGTAGGCTGATGGAGCCCACGACAGCACAGTGCTTTTTAGGTTCCCAGGTGATTCTGCTGATACAGAGGCCTTGGACGCCACTGTCCTGGGTCCCTAACAAGCTGCTGGGGGCCATTTCCGGTCAGCTACAAGAGGAAAGGGCCAATGCTTTATTTGTGCTTCTGCATTTCAGACATTTCCCTCTAATTGCAGCCCCTCTGAAGACACAAGAAGGGCTCTGCTGCTCCTAGAGGTTCCGTGGGACCAGGACAGTAAATCACCACGGCGGCAGGCCTGAGGAGCTTTTATTGGCACGGCCTGTGAAAAGGTGTGGGGGCCACTCCCGAGCAAAAGTCTGTATCCCAGCAAGGTGTCCAGTGTCCTGAATACCACCACTCAACAGGCCAAGTTCCTGCCGCAGACGCAGCCAGGTCACCGACAGCTCCACAACCAAGCGGGTGAGCCTCCTGCCCTGCGAGCGCACGCGGCAGGAGTCGGGGGATGGGGGGCGACCAGCCCGCGGGGCTCAGGCTGCCCTGCCCCTGGGCGCACGAGGACGCCTCACAGCAGCGGCGCTCGCTCGGCCTGCGCTCCATCCGCGTCGGCCTGCGCGGTTTCCGCCTGCCGAGCGTGGTCACAGGACGTGGTCCTCGGGGTGGTAGAGTTCGCTCATCAGGCGGTAGATGTAGGAGGGGGCGTTCCCTCCGATGTTGGAGATAAACAGGGTGATGAGCTCTGGCGGGACGTAGTCGAACACGGGGCAGTGGACGCTGACCTTGTCCAGAATGTCGCCTGCAAGGCAGTCACACGTCAAGATTACACCGGGAACCTCTCCCAGGAGTCAAGTAGCAGATCAAGTCTAGGTTCAACAGTGCAGGCACACAAGATGCCCAAGGCAGGGAGGCTGCGGCGCACAGAAACCAGAGTGAGGCCTCCACGTCCTCTGCTCCCCCTTCACACCCTCCAGTGCCTCTGCACAGCCTCAGAATAAAATTCAAACTCAGGGCCCGGGACAGTAGCGTAGTAGGCTAAGCCTCTGCCTGCAGTGCCGGCATCCCATATGAGTGCCGGTTCAAGCCCCAGCTGCTCCACTTCCCATCCAGCTCTCTGCTATGGCCTGGGAAAGCAGGAGAAAACGGCCCAAGTCCTTGGGCCCCTGCACTCATGTGGGAGACCCAAAGGAAGCTCCTGGCTTCGGATTGGCTCAGCTCTAGCCATTGCAGCCATTTAGGGAGTGAACCAGCAGATGCAAGACCTTTCTGTCTCTCCCTCTGTCTAATTCTACCTCTCAAATAAATCTTTTAAAAAAAGAAAAACTCAAACTCGGATTGAACCTTCAGGTGCCGTGCCCTCCCTATCACACCACAAGAATTCCAATCTGTCCCATCCCCCGCGCTCACTGCTGCCAGCCAGCGGCGCCGTCTTCCAGCAGGTGAAGCGCAGCCCACAGCAGCGGCTGCCTCCCCAGCTGGAAGCTCCACTCATTCAGGACCTGCCGAACGGTCTCCAGACCTCCCCGAGCTAAGGTCACTCCGTTGCGTCACCCTTGCACGTTTGCGTCCTCAAACATCCCACAGTCTGACATTTTCTCATCTGTCTAACGATAAACGGAAGCTCCGTGGGCGCGGGGCCTTATTTGTTTTGTTCACGGTTACGTGCCCCGTGCCTAGAACAGCACTGGCTACACAGAGGGCACTCGGTAAATACTTCTGGAAGGACGAACGTTTCAATCAAGGGAAGGGTTACGCAGCATCCCAGAAGAGCGAAGATCCCGTGCACTATGCCGTGTTCCCCGGGATGGCGGCAGGTGCACTGAGCAGGGCTGCCATCCACAGAAGCAGCCGGAAAGACCCCGACACATGAAGGCCCCAGGCCACAGGCGAGTTTCCCAGGTGGGGCCATGTCCAGCGTCCTTTGGCAGCCAGCTCACTGAAATGACCCCCACAGCAGCCGAAAGCAGGTGCATTTTCCCCTCCGGCTGCTGCCTGTGTTTGGAACAATGCAAAGCCACACCCAGTTGGTCTGCGTGACCCAGTCCACTGTGGCTTCAAGTATTTATCTCAGAACAGACTAGCATGGACTGAATCCGGGCTGCGAGCACTGTGCTGCTCACAGGAACAAACAGTCCCTGAGGAGGACAGCTGCCAGCCAGCCAGCATCCACTTCTACAAAACCCCGGCACGCACACACGCACACACACACACATGCACACACAATTCCTGTACCTTCTGTGAACGGCAAGACTTCTTCAGGAGCCACAAATTTGTGAAATGAATCTTCCTCATTGGGGAACTAGGGGGAAAAATGCTTTCATAAAGACCCAGCAATTACACTCCCAGATAGACACGCAGGCAAATGAAAACTTGGCTCCACAGAGGAAACAAACACATGTGCTCACAACAATGTTATCCACAAAAGACAAACGCCCCCCAACGGACGGGTGGATGAGTGCACTGTGGTATATCCACGCACGCGCACAGATGGATGGGCGCACCGTGGTATATCCATGCACACGCGACACGACGACTCAGCCTTCACGAGAAAGGCAGCTCTGACCACAACAGGGATGAAATCCTGAAAGCGTTATGCTAAGTGACAAGTCAGGCAGGAAAGGTCACTAACTGTATGACTCTTTATAGGCAAATCCACTGAGACAGGAAACAGATGAACGATTACTAGGAGACGGGGAGAAGGCTGGCTGGGGAGTGACTCCTTAATGGGTTCAGGGTGTTTTCTGGGATGTCAAAAAAGAAGTGTTGAAACCGGAAAAGTGTTGGTTGCACAATGCTGTAAATGCACTAAACACCACTAAATTGTACATTTGAAATGGCTAATTGTATGCTGTGTGAATTTTACCACAATTAAAAAACAGAGGGACCTATAAATAAATGTTTCAAAGCAGACTGCCCCCATCAATGATGGATGGCTCTTCACTTAGTAAACTGCTGTATGCAAACTACAGAGGACAGGCCCTGGGAAAATGGCAAATAAAAGCTATTCCAGGGGCCGGTGCTGTGGTGTAGCAGGTAAAGCCGCCATGTGCAGTGCTGGCATCCCATATGGGCGCTGGTTTGAGTGCCGGCTGCTCCACTTCTGATCCAGCTCTCTGCTATGGCCTGGGAAAGCAGTAGAAGATGGCCCAAGTCCTCGGGCCCCTGCACCCCTGTGGGAGACCTGGAAGAAGCTCCTGGCTTCGGATCAGCGCAGCTCCTGCCATTACAGCCAACTGGGGAATGAACCAGTAGATGGAAGACCTCTCTCTCTCTCTGCCTCTCCCTCTCTCTCTGTGTAACTCTGACTTTCAAATAAATAAATAAATCTTTAAAAAAAAATAGATGAATCTTAAAAAAAAAAAAAAAAAAAAGGCTATTCCACGGCCCTGGCTTCACCCCGCTTGGCCCGTTCAGGAGCAGTCAGGGCCCCGGGGAGTGGCAGCCTAGTGTAAGCAGAGGCCCTTCCCGACACCTGTCACCTGTCGCTGCAGGACAACTTGGCTTCCGGTCAGTCATCTTCCTGCATCGAGCCTTCGGTGGCTCTTTCTAGCCTCCGCTGGGTCTAAGCCACTGAGTAAACGCAGATAAAGCAGCCCCAGCTGAGCGGCTGCACACCCACACTCGGCTTCCTCCTCTCTGCTGGGCCGGACAGACATACCTGTGGGGACAGCTTGAACATGGGGGCGCAGACGATGAGTGGGGTGGAATGGTGTTTTGCTGCCAATGCCAGAGTGTGGGTTCCGGTCACAGCTCGCAGGGCACCGTTGGCCAAGATGGTCTTTGTGCCAATGATCACCTTTGGGATGGGAAGAAAGATGAGGACCACCCTGGGGTTAGAACCCTGAAAGGCTCACTGGCCAAACAGGCTGAAGGCTCAGTACAAGTTCCGGCTTAAACGTGAGTTCCCATGTTATGAGTGGATGCAGAGAACCACAACGCCTGTGCCCTCAGCCCTGTCTGTTCCGGGAGCCTGCACGCCACACCTCCTGAGAGCCAGAGGCAGGAGCCCCGCAGCCAGGCCCTGGCAGCTGGCACTCATGGCTTAGTGCCACGCCATTCTTTCAAAACTTTAACCAGACAGGGCTATTGTGAAGAATGGGATGTAGATACAAATAAATTCAATAAGTACGTTTAAAAGAACTAAGTATGTGCAGTCAAAAGGTGCTAGAAACTCCTCTTTTCCCACAGATGTTAGGGGAGGAGAAGAAATCACAACTTTTTTATTAACACATTCTTCATGAATTCAACAGAGCTCCAACAGACCCACCTTGTTGACTCTTGACATAACAGCAAAAATGGCAGCATCAGTCATGACAGTGGTCTCAATGCCTGCTTTGGACAGGTTGACAGCCATCTCGTGACCCTGCAACAGGAGGGAAAGGCCGGCGCTGGGCAGTGAGCAGGAGCCCGTGGGAGGAGCTGGGGAGCCCGCGGGCCGGCACGGCGGGCACACGCCTTCCAGCGTGTTTCTGCTGACGAGGCACTCTCTGGAAAGCAGCCAGGAGGCCCGGGGGAAGCTAATAAACGTCCCACACTCCGCAGGGGCGCTGGAGCAGTCACAAAGCTGAGACAGAGCGTGGTGCGTGACCAGCACCCCCGCCGGGCCGCTCCTGTCCCCCCACCCCCACCCCCCGCGACATCCTGCTTCCCCACACCTTTCCTTCCTGAGACCTGTCATTGACTTCCAGCCGGAGCGAGGTCACACCACACGTCAGCCATCCCCACCGTAATTCACCCTATCCTGAGTCCTAAAAGACCAATACTCAACTTTCCTCGGACCCTGCGGTTCACCCAACTTTCTGAAACATTTCACGGGATGAAAATTTCCTTCATGCTCTACTTTATCTTCTCAGCATCTCATTGGCTTGCAGGTGGGATTCAAAAATTGGCATACAGGGCCCAGGGCTGTGGCTGTAGCCGGTAAAGCTGCCGCCTGTGGTGCCAGCATCCCATATGGGCACCAGCTTGAGTCCTGGCTGCTCCACTTCCAGCCCAGCTCTCTGCTATGGCCTGGGAAAGCAGTGAAAGATGGCCCAGGTCTTTGGGCCCCTGCACCCACGTGGGAGACCCGGAGGAAGCACCTGGCTCCTGGCTTCGGATTGGCGCAGCTCTGGCTGTTGCGGCCAATTGCAGATGGAAGTCTCTCTCTCTCTCTCTCTCTCTCTCTCTCTCTCTCTCTTCTCCCTCTATGTCTCTCCTTCTCTCTCTGTGTAACTCTGCCTTTCAAATAAATAAATAAATCTTAAAAAAAAAAAAAAGGCAAAGAAATCGGCGTGGAGCCCGCGAGCCTCCCTCCCTCCCTCGGCTCGGCGGTTCCCCGGCAGCTGCACAGCGCCTCACCTGGCAGAAAGGGGCGCACTCCGCCACGATGACGTGGAACTTCCTCTTGCGCGCAGCCTCTCGGAGGAAGGCCTCGACCGTGCGGGACAAGCCAATGGTCATGATGACCTCGTTGGAGTGGATGTGCTCCAGGGCCTGGGCCGCAATGTTCTCCGTAGTCCCTTCTGCAAGATCAGTTTTGCAAGGAAAATAGGACACCGACCCAAGAGTGCGGAGAGGGCACGGATGCCACCCCCGGCAGCCCTGGACCACGGCTGGTCCAGCTGCCCCCCTCCCAGCCCGACTCTTCAGCCCCGGCCCTGGCTCCCCACCAGCTCGGTGCAGCTGCTGTTCAAGGCCGTGAGAGAACCATCTGGGAAACCCTACAGTGCTGAGCGGGGTACACGGAGTTTCCCCCCAAAGGCATCTTCCTGCAAAAGGTGGACACGACAGCTCCGCGTGACGAGGGCAGGCAAGAGAAGAACCACGGGGGCTCGAAAGCAGCAGCTGGGGACCCAGAGAGAACCCAACGGGATATGCAACAAGTTCGGAGAAGCAGAACTCAAAGATAAACTTACTTAGGTGCAAAAAAAAAAAAACCCTCTTGGAACCCCCACTTAGTTTTTTCATAATGCACACTTCCCATAAGCCTTCTGGAGACCCCTCTTGTGTGTGTGTGTGTGTGTGTGTGTGTGGCCAAAGAGAGCCTATCACGCATGGTTTTCGGGAGTTCACTTTCTTTAAAACCAAAAGAAAGCCCTGTCCCCGGGGCCTCTGCCCTGCGGACCTGCAGGGGGGTCTGTAAGGCAAAGCACAGAGGCTGCTTCAGCGCCGCTGGCTGCTCCAGCAACGCTTCCTAACCAAGACACCGCCCGAGGAGGGGCCGGCCGCCGCCAAGGCTCCGCCGACGAACCACCTGCAGGGGCGCTCAGACCGGTCCTGTGCATCCCACCGTCAGGCCTCTCACCCAGCTCCACCAGCAGCTCATTGATCGCCTCGACGATGTTGGACTGAAGTTGGGCATAATGGAAGCTGAAATCCTCGCTCAGGCCCCCAGACGTCAAGAGTTTGTGCAGGGACTCCTGCTGATCGCTCTCGTCGCTGCGCCCGTGGAGTCTGGGAGGCAGGTGAGGAGGAGCTGTGGTCAGGTGGGTACAGGAGCTGCTCAGCTCCAGTCCAACCCGGAGTCCAACCCGGAGCCAGGGCGCGAGCCTGACCTGCCATACTCCTCCCGGATGATTTTGAGCACTCTCCGCACCATGTTGCCCACTGTGGTCTCGGAGGGCTGCGCGGCCATCATCCGCCTGCCCTCTCTGCGGATCAGCTCCATCAGCTCCCCTGCGGCCCAAGAGACGGACGGTGAGCGGGGCCAGCGCCTGGGGAGGCCGGGGAGACTTTCAGCTTTGGGGTAGGGCAGGGAAAAGGGGCCGGGGACCCGAGCGGAGTTAGCCTGCCTCACCCGCGTTGCTCCAGCGGTGGTCTGTGATGATCCGGCGCAGCAGCCCCAGGGTCTCCCGAGCCATGTCCTCCGAGCTGCGCTGTCCGCCGCCTCGCTTCAGGGCTTCCACGAAGCTCTCGATCCTCTCGGACAGCTCCGAGCCCTTCTCCGTAGCCCCCGGCATCTCGACAGCAGTCGCCGGGCAGGCGAAACAGCACCTGTTAAGACCGTAGAGCTTGCACTTCCGGGGCAGACAAGGTCGACTTCCGCCCTGCCGAAAAACTCGTTTTGAGTGGCGGCCGGCCACGCCCCTCACTTCCATGTCCCACCCCTTTCCATACGCCTGAACCAATCAGAGACGGGAAGCTCGCGTTGTTCAGTCACAACTGAGCGTCCCCACGCCTCCCGGGGCAGAGAACCGGAAGTGGCCTTTCCTAGCCCCTTCGGTGCGGTATAGAGGCGGCCCCCTCCAGCCTGCGGTGTGTGGCTCGGCCCGTCCGGTACCCGAGGTGACGCCGGAGAAGTTTCCGCAGCCCATGCTCCCTGGGTGACGGCCCGATGTCCTGTCACACTCGGAGTGCACTCCCCGGGCAGACGCCTCGTGTCAGTGCTGGTCCGCGGCGTGGCACTGGCCGCGCCCGTGTCTCGCTGGTAGATTGAACTCTCTGAGGACGGGGCCGGCCTCACGGCCGAGCACTTGTGCTACCTCGCAGAGGAGCCGGGAGTCGGGGATGGGGACGCTGGCGGTCCACAATGGGCGCTGCCAGAGGTCCCGCGGTGTGGGGAGACCGCGTGGCACAGCGCGGCCAGGCAGATTCTCACCCGCCTCCCAGCTGGGGAGACAGAGCCGCGGAGTCTGAGCAATGAGGGGTGTCCGGGCGTGGGCCCAGGCCAGTCGGAGCCTGGAGTCCGAGCGTGCTGTGTGTGAAGCCGCGCCGGTCGAATCCAGCAGTGCGTTACCCACACAGTAGAATTTCAATCTGGAATGCAAAGCTGGTTCAATAATTGAGAAATCAGTAACGATCTAGGAAGTAGAACAAAGGGGTCATGCTGATGAATGCAAGAAGCAGCCTTTTGTGAAATTCGACGTCTGTTCGTGATAAAGACTGCGAAACCCGGGAACGCGAGGGAACGGCTTCCACCTGATAAAGTGCGGCTACCGAAAGGCCCACTGAAAATCATAGTTAAGATGGCCAGGGTGCTGGGTGTTTCACCACAAAACTAAAATGCCTTTTTTAGAAAGATCTATTTATTTATTTGAAAAGCAGAGTTACAGAAAAGAGAGATCTTCCATCTGCTGGTTTACCCCCCAGATGGCTTCAGTGGCCAAGGCTGGGCCAGGCTGAAGCCAGGAGCCAGGAGCTTCGGGTCTCCCACGTGGGTGTAGGGCTCCAAGGACTTGGGCCATCTGCTGCTGCTCTCCCAGGCCTTTAGCAAGGAGCTGGACTGGAAGCGGAGCAGCCAGGACTTGAACTGGCGCCCTCCTGGATGCCAGCAGGAAATGGCGGCTTAACCGGCTGTGCCACAGCACTGGCCCCCAAACCGAAATACTAGCACACCCCGGTCTTCTCCCACACCTAAAATAACTACTAAACTGAATTTTGATCGGTGTTCCTTTACTTTTTAAAAAAAGCCTATTATTTGTTAGAATCCCCAAACTGTTTAGTTCTGCTTCTTTTTGAGGATCTTTTTATAAATGGTATTATAATTTTCTACAACTCTGGCGGTGCTGTGGCTTACTTGGTTAATCCTCCGCCTGTGGCGCCGGCACCCCTGGTTCTAGTCTCGGTTGGGGCACCAGATTCTGTCCCAGTTGCTCCTCTTCCAGTCCAGCTCTCTGCTGTGGCCCGGGAAGGCAGTGGGCCCTGCACCCGCATGGGAGACTAGGAGGAAGCACCTGGCTCCTGGCGGCCGCAACAGCGATTTGGAGAGAGAACCAACGGAAGGAAGACCTTTCTCTTTCTCTCACTGTCAGATTAAAAAAAAAATTTCTGCAACTGTGCTGTTTCACTTGCTTTGACACCCATCCACGTTGCGTGTATCTGTAATTCTGTTTGCACTGCTGCTTGTGACTATATCTCAAGTTATCTGTTCATTCTCCAACAGACATAATTGGGTTGTTTCCACTCGGGGGGGGGGGGCGAATGAATACAAACAACAAATATTCTTGCATATATTTTGGCATATTTATAGGTGAGACAGCTGGGTCACAGGCTAAATGAATGTTCAACTTGGCAAATCGATCTGATCTTCCAGAGTGGTTAAGTTAATGTATGCTCCCTCCAACCAATGTTAGAGTTCTAGCTGACCCCCATCCTTACCAACAGGCAGTGTTATCAAGTATCTTCTTTTGGGGGAGTCAAATAGGCATAAAAGGATACTTTGATTTTTTTTTTTTTTTGACAGGCAGAGTGGACAGTGAGAGAGAGAGGCAGAGAGAAAGGTCTTCCTTTGCTGTTGGTTCACCCTCCAATGGCCGCCGCTGCTAGCGCGCTGCGGCTGGCGCACCGCGCTGATCCGATGGCAGGAGCCAGGTGCTTCTCCTGGTCTCCCATGGGGTGCAGGGCCCAAGTACTTGGGCCATCCTCCACTGCACTCCCTGGCCATAGCAGAGAGCTGGCCTGGAAGAGGGGCAACCGGGACAGAATCCGGCGCCCCGACCGGGACTAGAACCCAGTGTGCCGGCGCCGCAAGGCGGAGGATTAGCCTAGTGAGCCACGGCACCGGCCAAATTTATATACCTTTAAAAAGAATCTTTTTCTAATGGGTGCATAGGAGTGCTTTATTTATTCTGGATACCTTTTTTTTTTTCAGTTATAACTATCTTCTCCCAGTTTAGAACTTTTTTTTTTTAAAAAAATGATTTTTATTTATTTGAAAGTCAGAGTTACACAGAGAGAAGAGAGGCAGAGAGAGAGAGAGAGAGAGAGAGAGGTCTTCCATCCAATGGTTCACTCCCCAGATGGCTTCAATGGCTGGAGCTGTGCCGATCCGAAGCCAGGAGCCAGGAGCTTCCTCTGGGTCTCCCACGTGGGTGTAGTGGCCCAAGAACTTTTGCCATCTTCTACTGCTATCTCAGGCCATAGCAGAGAGCTGGATGGGAAGAGGAGCAGCCAGGACTAGAATCAGCGCCCATATAGGATGCCAGCGCTTCAGGCCAGGGCGTTAAGCCACTGCGCCACAGAGTCACCCCCTAGAACTCTCTTTTTTTCTTACTTTGAGATGTCTTTAATCATATTTCTTGATTCTAATATCTTCAGATATGTCAGTCTGGGGTCAGAATTGTGGTGTAGTGGGTTAAGCCACTGCCTAAGATACCAGCATCCCATATGGCTGCCAGTTCAAGACCTGGCTGCTTCACTTCCAATTCTACTCCCTGCTAATGACCTGGGAAAAGCAGCAGGGAATGACCCAAGTGCTTGGGCCCCAGCACCCACATGGGAGACCTGAATGAAGCTCTTGGCTCTTAGCTTTTTGCTCAGCCCTGGCTATTGTGGCAACTTGGGGGTAAACCAACAAATGGAAGATGGATCTCTCTGTCCCTTCCACTCTTTCAAATAAATAAATAATTTTTTTAAAGTATCAACCTTATTTAAGATTTATTTTATTTATTTGAAAGGCAGAGTTTATATGTGTGTGTGTGTGTATACATATATATATATATAGAGAGAGAGAGAGAGAGAGAGAGAGAGAGAGAAAGATCTTCCATCTGCTGGTTCACTCCCTAAATGGCTGCAATGGCTAGGGCTGGCTCAGGCTGAAGCCAGGAGCCAGGAGCTTTCTTCAGAGGTCCAAGCACTTATTTTTTTTTTTAAGATTTATTTATTTACTTGAAAGTCAGTTACACAGAGAGAGAAGGAGAGGCAGAGACAGAAAGAGGTCTTCCATATGCTGGTTCACTCCCCAGTTGGCTGCAACAGCTGGAGCTGCACTGATCTGGAGCCAAAGCCAGGAGCCAGGAGCCTCCTCTGGGTCTCCCACGTGGGTGCAGGGGCCCAAGGACTTTGGCCATCTTCTACTGCTTTCCCAGACCATAGCAGAGAGCTGGATCGGAAGTGGAGCAGCCAGGACTAGAATCGGCACCCATATGGGATGCCGGCACCACAGGCAGTGGCTTTACCTGCTATGCCACAGCGCCGGCCCCTGGGGGCCAAGCTCTTGAGCCATCTTCCACTCCCTTTCCAGAGCATTAGCAGGAGCTGGATCAGAAGTGGAGCCCACATAGGATGCCAGTGTCACAAGTGGCAGTTTCACCAACTATGCCACAACACTAGGCCCGATCTCTTCTGCTATAGTTAATGCCTTCTGTGTATTATTTGAGAAATCTTCCTGTAATCCAAAATCATAACTTCCTATATTCTAATATTTTATAATTTTTCCATCACATATAATTTGGATGACAGATGGGAGTCCAATTTTCTTTTTCTAACCATCCTTCAGTAGTTTCTAGTGTCACAATTGTCCTAAGTCAAGTTTCTGTAATGTGTAAGTCTGTTTTGAGGCCGTTTATTTTGTTTCATTGCTAAATTTATACCCAAACCAGTGTTACATTGTCATACCATTACCTTATTTCTTTTTTAAAAAAATATTTTTATTTATTTATTTGACAGGTAGAATTACAGACGGTGAGAGAGAGACAGAAAGATAGGTCCTCCTTCCGTTGGGTCACTCCCCAAACGGCCGCCACCATGGCTGGCGCTGTGCTGATCCGAAGCCAGGAGCCAGGTGCTTCTTCCTGGTCTCCCACACGGGTGCAGGGGCTGAAGCACCTGAGCCATCCTCCACTGCCTCCCCAGGCCACAGCAGAGAGCTGGACTGGAAGAGGAGCAGCCGGGACTAGAACCGGTGTCCATATGGGATGCCAGCACCACAGGCGGAGGATTAACCTAGCGCACCAAGGCACCAGCCCCTATCTTATTTCTTAAAAAAAAAAAAAAATTTAGCTTACTGGAAAGAAAAATTTCCTTGCCTAACTAATTTCCTTTTCTTAACTATTTTTCTGTACCATGTATGTTTTAGAAATAGCTCATCTATACCAAAAATAAGCAGACAGACAAACCTCTGTTAAGATTTTGGTCAGAACTGCTTTAAATGTATGAATCAATTTGAGGTGAATCAACATCTTTAAGATACTTAGTCTTCCTTTCCATGAACATGGTGTACATCTCCTTTTATTTAAGCCTTTTATGTCTTCCAGTAAGATTTTATAATTTTCTCCATATATATCTCTTTTTTCAAA